TCCCCACTCTGTCTCTGGTGAATCCTCTCACCCCCCGCATCTCTGGCCTGTACCCCAGCTCTTATGTGCAAAAATAAATCTTTTTAAAAAATAAAATAAACTGGCAAATTATCAATATCAGACATGTTGACAAGAGAAAAAAATACAAAAGTAAAAGTTTAATAATTGCATGTATATTTCCTGTATACATGGGAGAAACCCTGTAAAAGCAACTCAACAAAATGGCTTCAGTCATCTTAAATAACTTCAGTTAAAGAAAAAGAAAGTAGAAGTTGCCACCTCTCCACTGATAAGAGGTAGGGAGACCTGGCTTCCCAGGAGGAGTGAAAAAGATCAGGTCTCCAGAGACAGCAAGGGGGACCCTCAGGGAGTTTCCTTTAGACTTTGTCTTACTCTCTTACAAAGGGGCAAAGTCCACCCAGCTTTCAGAGCCTCCTCTGTGAAATAATCCTTATGCCAAAGAGACATATTTTGGGGGTGGCAGATTTTGCTCCCCGACACATGTAGAGCAATCGGACCAGTGCTAATAAGCTAATCAGTGAGCTAGTTGCCTCGCTGACCATTCATACCATTAGCACAGCAGTGGCCATAGCACAGTGTAGGGAAAGCACGACGTGGAGTTAGTACATGAATGGCTGACACCTGCTAAATTTTTTTGTTCACAGTCCCCTTAGCGCAGCGCCCTCTTGTGTTAGTGAAGGTGGTGGTGAAGGTGGTTAGTGAAGGTGATCCCCACAGGGTCTGATTGTTGTGGGGTCCGATCATTATGGGATCTGATCATTAGGGGGTCTGATCACTGTGGAATCCAACTACTGTAGGGTCCGATCATTGCAGGGTGTGGGCATTGTGGGGAGTGATCATCGTGGGGTCTGATCACTGTAGGGTGTGACCACCCCTGTGGGGTCCATCACTGTGGGATCTGATCAGGGTGGGCTTTCCTGGGCTGACCAGAACAAGGCAGGATTGAGGGACCCAAGATAACACAGCAGTCTGTGGCTCATGAGCATTTCCACCGGAGCAATCTGAAGACAATTTTTGAACCCCGTCTTTGTTAGGGGAAAGATGTGAAGTCCCAGCACCCAACACCCCTAAAGGCTATAGGATGGCTCTACTTTGCTGAGTGGGTCATGCAAGCTGAGCACCAGAGCTGAACTGTTCAGGACAAAAGGGTCCGGAGAGGCCAGTGATGTTTCTAGAGAGGATTCACAATGTATTGCTTGATAGGTGCAAACAAAGCCCTCTTCCCCACCACTCTGTGGAATTATCAACAAAGCAAACCCTCCTCATGAAATCACCGTGTAGTTGGCTTTGGGGTGGGGAAGGGCGCTGGAGTCAAGTGCTGAATCAGCCTGGGGTGGCCAGAGAATACGGAGGCAAGGCCACTGGGGTCATGGGTGTCACCCACCCTACTGAGCACGCATAGCTGAGGGACACAATGGGCAATGACAAATCTGTGCATGCGCCAGACCCAGCCCTGCGCTTTGTACAGAACACCTCATTTCATCAGCACGAGAAACCCCCCCAGTAGGTCTCTAAACACCTTCAGTTTACACAAAGGAGACTCCATCTCCAGATTCTGCAGCCAAGAAGAGTTTAAGTCTCTGTATAGAATCAACTCTTTTCTTTAACCTGTTACCTCCTACTCTTCCTTTTTTCCTCTCCCACAAAACCTCCGGACTTTGTTTCCCCTTGGGGCACATTCCAAGATTCCTACTTGAATCAGTGTACCCCAAATTGCCATTCTTTGATCTCAAATAAATGTGCTTTGCCTTTTTAATTGCCTTGTTAGTTTTTAGGTTGACAACTTCAAAACCAGGTAACTTTGACTCCAGAGACTTATTCTCAACTACTGTGCTAAAAACTGAAGCCCAATTTAATTAACTGCAAAATTACTATATGAGGGGGGTCAGGCAGTGCTTTTGCTATCCCACTGCTCAATCAAATTGACTAAACTCACAGGAGGGATGGGTGTCTCCATCCCTCCCACCCAGGTGTCCAGGATGGTTCTGAGACAACAGTCTTCCAAGACAGGTGAGAGCCAGGTGTTGGTAAGCCTGACATCCACCCATGAGTTCACTTATTTTTTTTTTAAAGATTTATTTATTTATGCATACAAGAGCTGGGTTACAGGCCAGAGATGCGGGGGTGGGGGGGGTGAGAGAATTCACCAGAGACAGTGGGGAGCAGAACAGGTCTGCTGCACCATGTGGGTTGCTCCCTGGCTGGCAGGGGATCAAACTCATGCTGCAGAGGCTGTGGATTGCTTCATAGTGCGGTGCTTACCCCCTTGCGCTACCAGGGAGGCCCCCATGAGTTCACTTATCAACATACACTGAGGGCCGACAAGGTGTTCACACAGGCCAGGCACTGAGTGGAGGATACGAGGCACCAAGAAACACACAAAAAGAAATCAGAGGCTCTGACCTCAAGGAACTTAAAAGACTCGGGGAGACAAATATGTATAAAATGAAAAATATCTGTTGGACCAGAAAGGCTTATTTGAGAATGTCTTAACTTTCCATAAGATGAGGAACAGATGAAATACCCTGAAATCTGACAGATGGGCTCAATTACTTCCAGTTTGGGTCCAGCAGGGGCATAAGAGGCCTGGAAGAAAAGCCATTTAGCTGAGTTTAGAAAAGCAAGCAGAACTTAAGTAGGAGAGAAGAGGAACTCAAGGATTTTTTTTTTTTTTTAAAGAAAGAACATATGCACAGGCACGGGACTGGCACAGGGAACTCCAAGTGGTTCTGCTTGGCTGGAGGGCCCCACCCAGGACAGAGGGTACAGGGTGACGAGACCCAAAGGAAGGAAGGAAATGACTTGAATGCCAGGCTGAGGGGGTCTAGTTTCCTTTTGCAGTTCCAGTTCTCAAATCCATGACCTAGCAGTGTACCCCAAATTCTGTCTTCTCAGGTGTGCTGCCCAAATTCTGATTACAGTCTCAGTTCATTTCCACCTCAACTAAAGACGCACTGTGCCGTGAGGCCTGTTAGAAGGGATGTTATGCCAAGCGAAGGGAGAAGGGAGTGTCAGTCGGGGCAGGGGGTTGGGGGGATGGGGGGGTGGAAAGAAGGGCAATGCACAGCGGGGGGCAGTATAACAGCAAGTCACTGCTAAAGAAAACCCAGTAGTAGGTGCTAGAACACAGGAAACCTGGCCTCCTCACGACATAAGAGTGCCAGCTGGGATTATCCAGTTTCTCTCAGACAGGGGCCCAGGCAGGCGATGCCAGGATCAGTGAATGCCCTAAAGACCCTGCAGGTGCCAGACTTAGGAGGTGTGCATTTTAGTTCCTGCAGCTTCTTCAGTGTCATTTTGAATCATTTAATCCGGGTTTGAACACTAGCTTTGTCAACAAAGCTTTTTCTTCGTCACCTTTCTGAACCTCTCTGTTCCCTGGTTTTCTCCTTTGCAAAATGCAGATAACAGAAGGGACCACACAGGGCTGTTTTGAGGCATAAGTGAAATAACGGATTTATGATAAGCTCTTAGCAAAGCCCCTGGCTCCAAGCAAGTACTTGGTCTCTGTCAAGTGTTACTGCTCTTTTTCGCTCTTCGTGTGGGGCATCCAGAACCCTAGTATTCACAGCTCTGAGGGAACACAAATACCCAAAGAATCCCCTCAAGTGTAAAGAGGAGGGCGTCCCTGAGGCTATTTGTATGGGGGGGCTCCAGGACAAGAACTGGTGCTGACTGAACACTCGGGTGCCAGGCTTCCCTGGCAAAGCTGTTTACGGCAGGGCATCTAGCACAAAGTAGAGAAGGAAACCGCCAACAGGGGGAAGGGGTGATGAATCCAGAGCCAGAGAAGAGGTGAGAACAGCTTGAATGCACATGTAGGAAGGGCTTCCCCAAGACGTTTGGAACAGACTTCCCGAGCACTTTGGCACGTGGATTAAGCCAGGGGAGCTGCAGTTGAAGCCCTGCAAGTGGAGGAGAAATCTGAACCCTTCCCTTAACTACCTAAAAGAATGAAAACTGGGGGAATTGCCCAGAAGTAGGGGTTTTTTTTTTCTTTACCAGAAATAACCTTCTGATAGGAAAACCCATCTACATGGCAAGGAAAACATGTAATTACAGAATATCTGGTCTCAGGCATATGAGCCCCCTTCTCCCCCATGTGAGCCCCATCTTCTGTCCTTGATGCCCAGTCCCTATTCCTTTGCTCAGGGTATAAATACCCTCATTTTGCCCCACTGACTTCAGAACTTACATTCGTGTCTACTCTTCATATGCATGAGAGCAAACGGGTTCTTTTCTCCTCCCAATCTTTTCTCCTCCCAATCCCAACCGATGTAAATTTGATTGCTTGGCCAGCCCGAAAAGAATCCAGATTTGGGCCTCCCCTGGTGGCACAGCGGTTGAGCGCTGGGTTGCGAAGCTGCCTGCAGCCTCTGCTGCGCCAGTTCGATCCCCGGCCACCGGGCGAGGATCCCACATGGCGCGCAGACCTCTCCTGCTGCCCGCTGCTCCCCTCAGCAGTGTACTTTGTCACTCTGCCTGTTCTGCTCTCCACTCTGGCTCTGGTGAATTCTCTCACCCTCCCGTGCTTCTGACTGTACCCAGTGCTTGTATAAATAAATAAATAAATAAATAAATAAATAAATAAATAAATAAATAAATCTTTTTAAAAAAAAAATCCAGATTAGTTGGGGACATTTCCTCTCCACCCCTGCACACGCATGCAACAATCAGGAGGAGAAGACCCAAGACACTGGTCAATGCCAAATGCCCAGGAAAAGGGCAGGCAGGGAGGCCAGCAAGGCAGAAGCCGGACAGCTCCTGACCGTCAGACAGACAGACAAGCAGGCCTGTGTGTGCAGAACTAGATGTGAGTCTGGCAAGTGACCAAAACTCAGTCTTCCCTCCCAAAGGGATCATTTTGAGAATAGTAACTTGATGGTACTGCGATAAGGAACTACTGACTGAGAAAAACAAATTATCGATCATTTAGAAATAAAATAAATCTAGAAATAAAACTTCACAAAGCCACTGACCTCAAAACATTTTTCTTTCTTTGCTTGGTGAAGCAGATTTGCCATTCCGGGAAGCAGAACTGGAAAGATGAATGTCTCCAAATAATCTTTGGGGGAACCTAAAACAAACAAATTCCCACTCAAATGGCCCAAATTAATCTGGGAAAAACCAAAAAAGATATTGTTAATGAAATGGCATGACCTTAAATCTTATCTGGAGGAGCAAAGTTTGCCACCCCTAAGTATTTCTTTTTGGCATCAGGACTATTTCACACGAGAGGCAGGTAGAGGACACTCTTTGTACTGAAATCTCCAACTCCTATCCATGGAAAGCAGACGCGCGAGTCTGCCTACCAGCCCTGTTTGCTCTCTCTGCCTTTCCTGGTGACCCAGCCCTGAGCTTCCCCCATCTTGTGTCATTAGCTGCAATTACATCAGCCATTACAGCTAGTCACTCAGTTTTTAGTGGGTCTCAGCCATGCATGCAGGAGATATAGGTATTATTATTAACCTCCTTGGTTTTTCTTTTCTTGTCAATATGTTCATTTGACTATTTGCCAGCCTAGCAGAACCAAGAGAAAGAAAAGGAATGGTCCACTCTCCCCCACTGCTGAGCTGGGCTGTATCACCAAAGAAACTTCCAATCTCTCTTTGCCTCTGAGCCCCTGCAGCCAGGTGAGGATGCAGGGCACGTGCTACCCAGGACCAGGGCCAGGCCACAGGCTGGAAGGATATGAGCAAGGGTGGCGCAGTAGGAACTGAAGGCAGAGAGGAGTGGGGTGGAGTGCAAGGCGTTGAGCAGCCTACAGCCGCAGGCATGGCGGTGGCAGAGGCTGAGGGCAAATCACAGGGATGCTAGCAGAAAGAACAGAAGAAACCAGAAAGAGAGGATTGGTATCAGGGAGGGCTGGAGGCACTCTGGCCAGGGAGGAAGAATTAAGAAGCCTCCAGCTCGGGCTTCCAAACACAAAGCAGGGCCACAAGATTTCCTTCTACTTTATGCATTCCCCCTTTGCATTTAAAGCACAATTAAAGCATGTTTCTTGCTATCTATCATCTGCACAGTGCATTTCAATCTCAAAAGATCCATCAGTAGAATAAAGGCTACTTCTCTTTAAAATAAAGATTAAAAACAGGAACACATTCTTTCTTTTTTGTGTGACCTCCCTGAGGTCTGTCTGTCCCTCTCATCCCTACCCTATGGTTTTGCAATGTTATAAAGCCTCGAACTATAAAAGAAGAACTGTCCCTTACTTACATGTTTTTGGGTGAATTTCTTCTGAACTAACTGAAGGACAGGGTGGTAGATGTGAGTCTGTGGTCAGATGAGGCACTGAATAAAGATGCTCTGCATTGAAGCCATGGAAAACCAGGTCCTCAAATGACGAGACCTGATGGGGAGGAAAAATTCACACATAGAGTTTAGATAGTTGTATTTTCTTTAATCACTGGACAAAAGGATAAGATGTGATATCATATTTCAGGTTCAAGGGGAGCACACTGAGCACAAACCTTTGCCTTTCTTCGTGTCTGAGACACCTATCAACGGCAATCAAGGAATAGACCCCAAACAAGAAAAGACTAGGACCACCATGGTTGAGAGATTTCCAAACATTTTCCAAAGAAACTGGGATAAAGTCTGTGGTCAGACAACAGAGAAGAGGAAATGGCAGTCCAGAGTCCATGGGAAGAACTGCCCCCAGAGGATATGTTCACACCAGCATTTTACACCCAGATTCCCCTCCTCCTTCCCAAACACTCTTCTGTAATCAAATCAAAGAAACAGTCTTGGAAGTAGTAGAACCACTCAGGGTGCCAGGCTGGTGACCAAATGGAAAAACAACTCACTATTTAGTTACAGGTTCCTTGCCTACTTACCCTGAAGAAAAGTCTTCAGTGGACAATTGGTCCAAGAGCTCCAGGTCAGTGTTTCTATTCATAGAAGAGACCCATCCAGAAAACAAACCAACGGTACAACAGTAGAAGAAAACCATACTGGCTATGTAGAAAAATCCACTCAGGCATCCATTTTAAAATTTGAATAAACAAAGATCTCTACACAGATTGAAAAAAACAGCATAAAAGAGAATGATCATGATCTACCGACAGAAAACAGACACTTATTGAAACACAGTAATTCAGGGAAGGCAACTGTAATTAGTATCCACAGAGAAATCTAAGAAAGCATTGCATGCATAAAGCAAGGACTCGATGCAGTGAAAAAGGAACAATCACGGACCCAAAAAGTTCTGAGACACAAACATCTCCAACAGTGGCAGGTGGTTAAATGCACTACAAGTTTAAACTGGTCAATTTTGGTCCCATCCCTATGACTCTACTCAAGTGTCTTCATCTCTCAGCCTTATTTATTTTACTTTTTTTTTTTGGTTTATTTTAAACTCTATTATTTTCTTCTTTTATTCCAAGTGTTAGCACACAACCATGGGGAGCCCTGGGGCCCCCAAACTTCCATGCTTTGAAGGGGTTTGGCTATTCATGTACACTAAAACAAAAGACACTCTTAGTGTGACGGACCATAATATTGGGTTGTTGGAAAAATCATGACATATATTGTTCTTTGAAAACCTAGGAAAAATGCATCATGACTTTTCTAACCACCCAATAACATTAATGTGTATAGAGAAGAAATGACATTTCCAAATGAAACACCCCAAATTACTCATCCCCTCATGGGTAAATGCCCAAACAGGGTTGGCCCAAAGTAGGGCCACTAAAGCCTAAAAGCCTGCTATAAGTCTAAGCCATCTTCTGGTGGGGAACCACAGGAAAAGGGTGAAAGGCACCAGGCAAGTCTGGGACAAAAGGAGCAAAATCAAAGTACAATCAAGATAATGGCCACCACCGGCAGCCTCCCTCCTCTCTCTCACCCACGTCTTTCGAATATCTCTACATGTCTCTACTCTCCATGTCTCTTTCCAAGTCTCTGGTGCAAGCTCAAAACTGCAAAGCAAGCTCACCTTTGTCTCTCCAAGTCCACGTGCCTTCACCTGGCCACTCTGCCCATTGTTAAGTTGTACCTTAACATGGTACCTCTCCTCACACAAGGTATACCTCCTGAGGACCTCCCTTCCTGGCTGCCCTGTCCTTGGCCCTGTCTCCTGAATGCAATGAAAAAGGAACAATCATAGACCCAGGAAGTTCTATGAAACAAAAATTCCATCAGTGGCTGCTGGCGTGTAGAGACCTGCCCTTGTGCACCTGTCCCTCACAGACATGGCACTAACTTCACTGTGTAGAACCTTCTTCATCCAGGATCTCACCTGAGCCTCCCAGAGGCTTTGTTTCATAGTCATGGATTTTCTGTTTCCTTTAACAGATGCACAAATTGAGCCTCAGAGAGACTGCGTGATACCTTGTAAGCCACACTGTTTGCAGCAGAACTAGGATTTGTCACTATTCTGGTTCTAGCTCCAGTGACCACCCACTTCCCACTTTCCTAACTCATGACACATCTGACACCCTCTAGCCATCAGTGCTGTTCTCATTTGAGAGCCCATCATTGGAGGTTGGGGAGCCCTGGGTGGTACTCACAGTGATCACAGCTTCCTGTTTGACATTATATCCCTCTGGAAAGGGAGGCAGCTCAGCTTCAAATTCTAAAGGCAAGGAGGAAAAATTCTCAATTCCACACTCCCTTGCAGTTTGTGATGTGCATTTCCTTTCCTCTGAGTAAAACATTCTTAAATTTTATTTTGGTTGGAGGTTTACAGAAATGCAAAACAGCAGGCCATTACAGCTTAATAATTAATGTGATCCGCCCTATATAAAATAGCTAAGAGGACTGTTCTCTTGCATCAACAAGTTAAGGCTTTCTGGAAGAGTTTGAGACTCTTTTCCCAAGAGGGTACAACTTTAGATACTGCCACCAAATTAATGATAACTACAGGAACTAGGAGGAGGGAGAGAATGGAGAGGGTGGCTAAGGGAAGGCATCAATAGGTCCAGGGAGGACAAGGCTGCAAAGGAAGACAAGAGCATGATGGAAGCGACAAAGGGAAGGAGCCGTCCCTTGCAGATGCAGGGGTGGGTCTGAAGGTAACTCTCCCAGATTGGAGGCACACATCTGGAAAAGCAATCCCATAAGCCCTCACTACTCAAGGTACGGCCAGCAAACCAGCAGCCTCAGCATCCTGGGAAGTTAGACATGCAACATCTCCACGCCAGACCGATGGAATCTGAATCTGCGTTTTAATGAGATCCCAGGTGACTTTGGCACATGGTGAAGTTGAAGAAGTCCCGCTGTACTCGCCAGTAGTTCCCTATCATGGCTGCACAATAGAATCACTAGGGTGCTTCCTGAAAATACCCATGGCTTGGACCAAACCCAGAAATCTTGAGTCAACAGGTGTGGTGTAGGGTTTTGAGAATAAGTATTTTTAAAGTTCTCCAGCTGATTCTAACGTGCAGGGAAGTAGAGATCAATTGCTGGTTTCAAGACCGATCAGTCAACCTGTTGGAGAGTTTAATGTAAAGAACATGCCACACAGGTGCCAGAGGCAACACCAACTACTGCTGAGAGGACAGAAAATGCCCATGGCTGTTGCAGTTACATACCTAAAGTAGGGACTGGTAAAAATATTTCTGGAATGATAGATATTTTTTATTTATCTATGCATATAAGAACTGGGGTGTAGGCCCAGAGGTGCAGGGGATGAGAGGATTCACCAGAGACAGAGTGGGAACAGAACAGGCAGATCTACTGAAATACACTGCTGAGGGGAGCAGCGGCGAGACAGGAGAGGTCTGCTGTGCCATGTGGATCACAGCTCATTGGCCTGGGATGGAATTCATGCTGCTGTGGCTGGTGACAGCTTGATAGCACTGAGACATTAACCACTGCACCACCAGGGAGGCCCTGGAATGATTAATATTTTAAAGCAATCACAGTCACTTTTCAGGGATGAGGGAAAACAAAGTTTTTGGTCAAGATAGTATCAATGGAAAACAATTGGACAGGATGCCAGTTTTATTCCATTAAATAGCTCCTAGTTCCTCATAAGGAGGCAGAGCATGTTTCACCCGTTTCAACCTTTCTTTTTTTTTAACTCTTAGGTATCAGGCTGGGGACAAGAGCTTCAGGCTGCAGGCAATAAACAATATTGATTCTCAATACCAGCAATATTAGTTTTCTACAGCTGTTTAACAAATCAGCACAACTTAGCAACTTAAAACAACATGAATTTATTATCACACTTCCCATGGGTCAGGAGTCCAGGGGTGGGGCAGGAGCCCATCAGGCTGGCATCAAGGTGTTGGCCACCACTGTGACCTCATCTGCAGTGGGGTCCTTTTCCAAGTTCACCAGTGTTAGCAGGGTTCAGTTTCTTATGATCACAGGTCTGAGTACACATTTTCTTTTTTCATTGTTGGTGGGGATGGCTCTCAGCCCCTAGAGGTCCATCATGGCTCAGGTCCTTGTCATGGGCTATGCACGCATGTGGTTATTTGCTACTTCAAGGCAAGCAGGAGCCTCTTCTGCTTGAATCTCTGACTCCTTTTGAAGGGCTCAACTGATTAGGCCAGGCCCACCTTGATAGTCTCCCTGATTTAAAGCCAACTGATTACAGACATTATCACATTTGAAAAGTCCTTTCACAACAATGCCTAAATTAGTGTTTGAATAACTGAAAGGTGAGGCACCAGAGGGTGGGAATCTTGGGGGCCATCTGAGCATTCTCCCCCACACATAGCATTTTGCTTCTCTTTCAATGTATCACCCTTCTTCCCCCAACATTTTGAGAATCACCAACAGCATGAAGACTGTTCATTTGGATCTAAGATGCACACATATATAGCTTTGCATGATTAAAAAGCAATGTACATTGATGGTTAAGGAAATTCCAAATAACAGAGATGTATTATCAGGAGCATGTAAGCCACAACAAATTCTCTTACGACCCACAATCATCATCAGATTTGGCACAGAGCCAACCAAATATTTAAATGCATTTATTTATATATCACAAAAAATATATATACACACATACATACATACACTGAGTATAAAAAAAACACATTCAAGTATTTTTATTTCCTTTATCTGCCAGGTTGGTCAAACTATCCAGGCATTGAGCCTTATAAACTATGTCCCTTTTCTTCTTACAATTTTACTTTTATTTAAAATTTATAAAAATTAATGACTCTCTTTTCTAACAGACTGTATGCTTAATGAGGGGAGAACCTGGGTCTGTTTCGCCCACCATATTCCCAAAGAGTATGTGCTGAATGAATGGTTGCTTTTGGCCCTTTCTTTATTTTATTTTTTTTTTTGGTGGGACCCTCACCGGGGGCCAAACCGGTGCTGCAGAGGCTGCAGGCAGCCTCGTAGCCCAGTGCTCAAACCGCTGCGCCACCAGGGGAGGCCTGCATTTGGCCCTTTTATCTATTCACTCATTCATATTTATTTAGATTCCACCAGGAGCCAGGACCCATTCTGGGTGTTGGATCTTGAATCTCTTTTTTTTTTTAATCTCACACACCAAGGAAGTTTCATCGGTTGATTTCAGTTGTCATCGACGTCCTCAAAAACCCAAATTTTGTTCAAATTTTTTTTACTCATACTCAGCTTTGTCTTCAGAGGCCACATCCCATTGTCTATAGTTCAGGCAGATATAAGAATTTCCAATAAAAAAGGGGTCTCCTCCTGTGGATCTTCCTTTTTTTCCCTTTCTCCCTACCCCCCCTTTTAACCTCAGAGCCCTTACTACGTTTATTAACGTCGGCTTGCTTTTGTATTTTACTTTGTCAAATCATGTTGTACATGGGCAGTATTTGTTTCTGTCATTCTGACTTGCCCCACCACACGTAATTCCCCCTTGAACTTCCATTTTGCTGTAAATGGCTGCATCTCATCTTTCCTTACGGCTGCAGGGTACTCCACAGTGTGAGGGTGCCACATCTTCTTGATCCAGTCATCTGCGAGGCCATTTAGGTGGCTTCCATGTCCCAGCTGCTGTGCACGGTGCTGTTCGGAACTTCTTTCAGTGCTGCTACATATAGGATGTGCCACGTTTACTTAACCAGTGTATTTTTGCTAGGGTTGTTTCCAATGTTTCATTATCATAAACAATGCTGCTCTTAGATATAGAATTGTTCTATTCAAGGAAAAATTAATTTAAAATTTGAGCCAAATTTTCCTCCCATATGTTTACACAGTGTATATTCCTAATAATAAAACCGCCTTTTTTTTTTTTTTGAGGGCATTACCAATCTGACATATTGAAATGATACTTTACTTTTACTTGTATTTCTATTCTTTTTTTAAGGAGATCTCTTAGGAGACTGGAGTCACACCTGGCCGGGTTTTAAAAACAGCTCCCAGGGATGAGGCAGCAGCTAGTCTGCCCAGAGTTAGCAAGGGAGTGGGACAGTGGTGTGAACACAGTGTGTTTTTTCTAGACGCTTAGCTGAGGGGGCAAGAGGGACAAACAAGAGGTAGACAGTAGGGGGTCAAGGGAGAGCTTGATCCTGAGATGACAGACCAGAAGGAAAAGCCTCCCCACTCCTGATTATCAGACTATCTTCAGTGAATGCCTCCTATTGTATCTCATCTTCCTGAAATTGAGTTTCTGACACATCTGTTTGCTATAATAGTTTACTTTTTAAATGGAAATATCCAACTAAAATGTAATACTTAATCTGCTTTTACAAAGGATTACCACAAAGTCTGAATTTACTCACTACATGGGTTAAGCAGTATCACAGAACATTTGAAGTGGGGGGCAAAACTTGAACTAGTGGGTGGGAGAATGGGAAAAGGTGCTGGCAATGGGAGAAGGCGCTCGGGATCGCTGACTGATGGGAGCTGCTGAAGTGACCTGGTGTCACTGCTCCCCAGTTGTGCTCAGTGGCCATACTGGGGGGACAAGCATTGATACAGAAGTGGCCCATGTTGCTATCTGCCAGTGGGATGAAGGAAAGGGCCTTTAAAACAGCTTAGAGGGTTGAGGCCAGAGAGTGTTTCTAGTGAGGAAGCGACAGCAATACTAAAGTAGCTGATCCAGCAATATCAAGTAGAAGACTGAGCCCCAAACACTTGACTCAGTTAAAAATTCTAAGTCACGGGCAACTCTAAGATTTAATTAGAAGGCTTGGCAGCCAAGAAGTTTATTGACACTAACACAAGTGCTTTTGAGAATACAAAACCCTGAGTTAGCTGTTGCTGGAAAGATGAGGGAGAAAATAGAAGAACATTCACAAGCAAGTTATCATAAAGCTGTGCTGCATAAGCACACACGTGCATTAGCCTAGCCAGGTAGGGTAAAGGTCTTAAATTAGATATTTATCTCTATTGTATCTCCTCTTCCTGAAATTGAGTTTCTGACACGTCTGTTTGCTATAATAGTTTACTTTTTAAATGGAGATATCCAACTAAAATGTAATACTTGATCTGCTTTTACAAAGGATTACCACAAAGTCTGAATTTACTCACTACAAGTTTGTTATAGAAAATTACATTTGTTAGAATGTTTGTCTTAAGAAATTGGGTTTATTCTTTAGGTTGTAATAATCATCACAGTGTCGTGTGTATAATCCACCATCTTTGACCTCATTAACTTCATGGTGTAACTCTACCACTGGGTAAGTGGCAGTGAGCCACTTGCTTTTCAAAGATTACCAAAATCTTCTCCTTTTCCTTTCTCCCTAGAGGCTACTGAACCAAAATAAATTCCAGTATCCTCGGCCACAAGACAAAGCATGTTTCTTTGTCAATAATAATGAACATTTGCTAAGCATTCTGTAATTAAGCTGGGCACTGTGCTGAATACCTTTGCATACATTATCTTTCCAGGTCTTCACAGCAGCCCTGTGAGGTAGGTACCAGGATGAGCATTGTGATACAGATTAAAGGTGCTGACCCCTCAACACTGAGAATGAGTGGTATCCCCAACAACACACCCTTAGTAACTCCATCATCAGGAGCTGTTTCACTGGGAGAAATGAAAGCTCTGGGAATAGAGAAAAGATGGCTGCAAATATTTGAGAGGATTTCTTCTGGGACAGTAATCAGCATAGGAGAGAGGGCACATATATTAGCATAGCACGCAACAATTAAGGACCAACAGGTAGAAGTTAAAAGGAGAGCATTCAAGACGAAATAGATTTTCCTGGGCAAAATGCAACATACTGCTGAAGGAGAGATTCAGGCACAGGATGGGAGTTGAGACAGACAGCAGATGCCAATATCTATCAATTGAGTCCATCATTCTCTTAACTCATTGCTCACTCTCTCCTTCTACCTGGGCCTCACTCAGAGCTACATTCTTTCTTCCGTTTCACAGATGTTTACCGACCTGCACTATCCAGTATCGTAGCCACTACCCCATGTGGCTATCTGAATTTACTAAGCTTAACTATAACAAACATGCATTTCCAAAGTGCAACTAACCACATGTCCAAGGCTCAGTAACTGTCTATGGCTAGTGGCTAGCACCCTTGAAGGTTCTATTGGACGGGGCAGTTTGAGCCGGCTAAGGTAGTGATGGTAACTACTGAATGAAAAATCGGAGTTCTTGACCTTGGCTTACAGACTAATGGGGGGAGGGGAACGCCCAAGATTGTTTATTAATAACCAAGCTCTTGCTTCTAAACCGGGCACTTTGCTAAGCACTTTCTGTGACTAGCTGCATACTGCTAACACCACGAAAGAAGTGCCACTGTGCTCATTTGAAGAGGGTAATATAACGGGTGCTGAAGGTGAGCTAAACTCTGGTGATTTTAAGGAAGCTCAGAAACCAAAAGGGGTCCAGAGCCAAGTCTGTCTAGACCATAACTGACTACATCAGAATTACTTGGGGCACCCGCGAAAGGTGCCGATCCCCGGCGCGGGCACCTACGTTTTAAATCAGCTCCCCATCCCCGGCCCAGCTCATTCTTTTCTGTCCACTCCGAGATTTGGGCATCACTGGGCATCACTGGGCATCCCCTCTGCCTCCCCTGCGTGGGACCTGGCCACCTGCCTCGAGGCTGGAGGCCGCACTGCCTGACTCGAGTCTCAGCCTCGAGCCTCAGTTTCCCCGAGCGTCCGATGGGGGGGCGCCGAGGGCGGCGGCCGGGGGGCCCGCACGTCAGCTGCCTGGCTCACAGAGGGGCGCTGAGAACGCGGCCCCCGCCCGGACCCGCCCCTCCCGGACTGCGCGGGCCGCCTACCCTCGCAGATCTGCTCCCACAGGCTCTGGCCCGGCGGCTCGGCGCCCTGGCCGGGCGGGTCCGGGGCACCCAGGTCCCCGGGAGACTCGTGGAGCACGGACGCCTGGGCGGGCACCGACTCGAACGAGCCGGTGAGCTCCTCGCGCTGGGCGGTGCGACCCGCCGGCCCCGGCGCCGCCATGGCCGCGGTTTCCACGGCAACAGCGCTCCCCGCGCAGCTGCGACCCGGAAGGAGATGGGGCTCGCGGGGGCGGCCCTGCGACTCGAGGCTGACTTCCGGGTCGCGGCGGAGCGGGCTCGCACGTGCAGGCGGGGACCTGCGGCCCACGGGTGAGTGGCGCCGGCGCGACGCGGGCGGGGCGGCGCGGGCCTGGAGGCGGGCCTGGGGCTGCGGGCGAGCCGAGCGGACGGCGGGCGACGTGCGCCCCCAGAGCCGCGCCCCCCGCCGGTGTGCGCTCGCCGGGGCGGCAGCCTCCGCCTCCAGGAAGTGCGCCCGCGGGAGCCCGGCCCGGGGCCCGCCCTCTGTGTCTCGGGGGACGCTTCGGGGCGGCGGGGCCGAGCGGGCCCCGTCTCGCCCTGGGCCCCCCGGCTTCCTGCTCGGGTCTTGCGGCGGGAGTGCCGTGGTGGGGCCGTGGAGCTGGGCGGCGAGCTCCTGCGCGCCGGGTTCGAATCCGCCCTTGTCGCTTGCCGGCTGGAGACCGGGGCGAGTCTCCAGCCGTGGGTGCAGCTCCCTGGGACAGGCTATTCACGCTGGGCGCACGAAGCCCCCGGGAGAATTTAAAAGCGCTTTGGGAGACAGTGTTTGTGTTTCTAGGAGACGCCCTGTAAGGTTCATTTCCCTTACTGAGAGAGTGATAACTTTTGGGGGCGCACTTTGACGAGAAGGATCTTCAGGGCCCAAGAGGACGATGCTCCAGTGTAAGGCGGAGATAGGCCGAGAAGGGCATTCGTGCTCCACCTCCCCTCGGTTCTTTGTTTTTGGCCGACTCACCGAGCCCCTCCGGTGACTCCCCCCTCTCCAGGCTGGCTGCTTCTCCCTCTGCTCCGCAAGCCCGGCTTCCTCAGCCTACCCATTTAGCTTTTAGTTTTCAGTAGGTCTTGTCTGGGGCTCATTCTGTTCAAGGCTTAATTCCCGTCCATGTTTTCTCCCAGCTGTCAGCCCAGTCACCTCTGAGCCTCAGACCCTATGTCCACGATTTCACGTGTCCAGCGAACATCGCCTGCTATCTCAAGGCATTTGTTCAAACTCACATGTCATCTCATCCCCCCCAGCCACCCTCCTTGAATTCCTTTATCTCAGGGATTCCCACCCCTGTTTTGCAGTCACCCAAGATGGACGCCCCTGTCCTGCAGAAACTCCTGACAGATGTTCGGGCCAGGGCAGATGAGTGCCCTTACCCTGACCTTACCGCTGTCCTGGAATTTGCTGCCTGTGTCATGATCTCACCTCTTTCCCTTCGACCCCTACCTGCTTCAGAATCGCAGGTGTTTTATCTCATTCATGGCTGAATCTCGAGCAATCATTCATTCATTCATTCATTAGTATTTGTCGAGCACCTGCTGTGGGCCAGGAACAGAGCCAGGCTCTGGCGATACAGCAGAAAACAAGACAGGAGTGAATGGATGTTGTTCTCTGACATTCCAGGTGCTCTCGGGGTGAGTTATGAATAGATCTGAGTTATAGTCAGGCCTGGACTGGCCCTTGAAACTGCTGAGTGAGCCAGGTCACTGTGACGCCCTAGGTGCTGAGACTGAGGAGAGCTGCAGCACCGAGGAGCTGCCGACCTCTCCTTCCCAAGCTTCTATGAGGGGATATTTTGTCTCTGGATTGCCTGAGTCTTGTCTCTAGTCCAGGGAGTAGCAGGAACTGACCTGGTGACTGGGAGGAAGGGAGGTAGCCCAGCTGGAAGCTGACATAAAAGACAAAGCTGGACATTCTAGGGTGTTCTTTTCCCTCTTTTATGGATGGGGAAACTGAGGCCCAGAGACATCAGCATGTAAAGAGAGTATCCATATCACCGTTTGACCCTAGGCTCCACTCCCATGCCTTGCTGCTCTTACTACATACTATATGGGGTGGTAATTAGGAGGGTAAGTCACCCAGGGATAACTTCCAGACTCAAAGCAGAAGTGCCTTTTAGACAAGGCAGGGGGCGAGGTTAATTGTGTTACCATTACTGCCCCTGGTGGGAATTGGCAGGAAGGGCTGACCTCAGGATTTCTGTCCCCTTCATCCAGTTAAAGGTAAGCACCCAAGGGCAGTGCCAGGTCTGTCTGTCTGACTTGACTGCAGGTGTATTCTCAGTGACAGCATCCTGTGGGGGTCAGATTAAGAATGACTCAATTTAGGGGTGTGAGGAAGGGGATTAGGGAGAGGAATCACCAATGTACCAAGCACTATCTGCGGGTTAGCTTGTTCTTTCCAACGGCCCTTTGAAGAAAGAAATCTTATTTTCCTGGTGGAACATTAAAGGCTGAAGGGGGATTGGTGATTGACTTAAGGTGAAAGAGGAGTTTGAATGTGAACTTGGGGGCTGTCTGGATTTAAACTCTGTTCCATGTCTGTGATTATATTTCCCTTTGCTCCCCAGGGGTCATGCCCATTTTCTCCCCCAAACTTCAGACCATCCACTCCGAGCAGCTTGGCTCTGGGCCATTCCTAGTTGGCTTGCGCGTGGGCTGACTGCATGGTGTGCGGTAACTCCCAGCTTTCCTTTCTCCAGGAATGATTACCAAGACGTACAAGGGAGACCTGAGCCCTAGGCTCCCAGAGAAGAAGAAGAAGAAGAAGGTGGTCAAAGAGCCCGAGACTCAGTATTCGCTTCTCAACAGTGACAATTACTTCACTGAAGTCTTTCCCATAAGAGCAACATCCCCCTCCAAGAGTGTGGTCCCAGGGCAGGTGCCCGAGATGCCCCCAGTGAAGAAGAAGAAGAAGAAGAAGGCCTGCGAGGAGCCCCCCGCACGGGACCCCGCATCGCCGGCCCGTCGGATAAAGTCGCCCAGCCCCAAGAAGCAGGTGCTTGGTCCTTCTGGGTTCCTCAGCGGGGAGAAGAAGAAGAAGCGGAAGTCCTTGTGGCCTCTGCCCATGTCCCCTGACTCCGGGGTGAAGGCCTCCCTGGATCCCAGACAGGGCGAGGACGTGACCAGAGTTGGCAGGAAGCTCAAAAAGCACAAGAAAGAGAAAAAGGCCCAGCAGCCTGTGTCCTGCTCAGCCAAGGCCCCCTGGTTCTGCGAGGCTGGGGATGGTCCCTGCGCTTACTCCATGGGGACGGTGGACAGGGAGCTGGCAGCCTCAGGGCACAAGCGGAAGCAGGGGAGCCCCAGGGAACGCAGTGTAAAGATAAAGAAAAAAAAGAAAATCTGCCAGGAGGGTGACACCCTTTTGGGGCACCCCAAACTCTCCAGGTCCGTGGAAAGCAGCCCTAGGAAAGGAGGTGGTAAAAAGAAGTCAGCCAAAGTCGAGGCTCCAGAATACATCCCAATATATGACCCCAAGGCCTCGACGAAGAAGAAAGTGAAGACCAAGAAGAAGACAGAGCTGCCAGGCGTTGAGGAGCCAGCTCTGAAGAAGAAGAAAAAGAAGAGGAAAGACAGCTCAGTGGTGGAAAAACCTCAGGAGAAGGAGGAGGTAGGCTTTCCTGTGGAAGTGGACTGTGCTTTGGGAGAATAAGCCTGGACTTTGGGGGCTGTGTGCACCAGCACATGTGCACGCCCAGGCTGTCCTGAACCTTGACTAAATTGATGTTAGTCAGAAAGGGGGTTTATCCACACATGTAATTGCAAAAGTTAAGGGCTGTCTGCCTTCAGGTACAGCTGGATCCAGGGGCTCACACAGACTCCTCCATGATGCAGGTGCTTTTGCTATCTAAACTCTACCCAGGTTCTCACTGTGCAAGCTCATTATCTGAGCCCATTGGGATGGGTTTCTCAGATGAATCCTTCCTGTTCTGAACTCTTGCCGCTTGCTATGCAAAGCCTAGGAACCCAGTAGTTTGAGACGAGGCGTCCGTAGCAATCTGAGCAGTCAGAGTGCAGTGCACACAACTCAGGGGTCAAGTAGATGCGGATGGCAGGAGAGGCCCACGGGGCTTTCCCATTGTACAGCCGTGTGCTGTGTAGCGACGCGTCCATTAGTGACAGGCCGCCTCGATGACAGCAGTCCCTACATGTGAGCTAGGTGTGTGGTAGGTCATGCCATCTAGCTTGTGTCAGCACGCTCTGTGACACCTGCATGGTGAACGCTGGTGTCAGACCCAGCGTTTCTCAGAGCAGATACCCGTCCTTTAAGACACATGACTGGTTTTCTGTTTTGGTTTTAGTCCCTAGCAGACTCCTCCCCATGCCCCCACCCCATGGCAAAAGGGTCCCAGCAAGCCCTCCCTTCATCCCAGGAGTTCAGCCGCCCCTGAGGAGAGAAGGGTGGCCCTCCAAGGTGATTAAAGGAAAAGTCACAGCTGCTTTCCTGGGCCTTTATCTGTCATTCAGGCCAGAATCTTGATCTGGAGTGGGGAGCACAAGTCTGAGGGTGTCAGGTCCACCCGAACCCCATGCCTGTGATCAGGGGAGGGCAGATTTCTGAGAGGAAGACCAGGGTGCCATTACCAGGAGGGAGGGAATGGGTGATGGGTGGTCTGGTGAAGCCAGCAGGTCCGCTGTCTGCATCCTGGCAGGCCTCCTTGAGGGGAGGGGGAGCTGGAAGGGGCACTGTGCCTCCACAGGCCCCAGCCCCCAGTCTGTGCCATCAGTAGGCCCAGGCCACCTGTCTGGGCAGAAACGAGCTCGTCCCAGCAGGTCTCTAGCACGTCAGGATGGCCAGTGGCCTTTGAAACACTCGTTGTGTGCCTTTGACTCAGCTCGACGCCACCTATCTATTAAGCTGCTTAGTCCTCACGCCAGTCTGCCAAGATAGCTCCTGTGGTCATACCCATTTAACAGACCAGGAAATTGAGGTTCAGGGGAGTTAAGTACCTTTTCAAGGTCACCCACCTGGTAAGGGGTGGGACTGGGCTTCAAACCCAGCCTGGCTTCTGAACTTGAGGTCTTACCCCTTCTCAGGAGCCGCCTATAGATCCTCATAGAGAACATCATTAGAGCCCCAGCAATGACTGTCTTGTGTTAGAATGTGCCCTGGGTTCTCTTCCAGCCCCGTATCTGCCAGCTGGGTGACCTCGAGCCAGCCTTTGCCCTGTGGTCCTCAAGTAAGCACCATAGCTAATGTGTACGGCGCACTCACTGAGGGGTGGGCCTGGCATGGCGGAGGGAGTGCAGTTAGTAGCAACTCAAGGCCCAGGCCCATGGCGCTGGGAGGTCGGGAGGGTGTCTGTGTGGCCTGAGCTCAGCTCAGCCGGGCGGGTAAGGGAGGCAGGGTGGCCTCCTGTCAGGGCCTGCAGGAGGTAGTTCTGGGCCTGGGCTTCTCCTAGAAGACCTGGACGCCTCTTTCAGAACTTTAGTCAGAAACTAGGAATAACCCTAGAGGCTTCAGTGCCCCGCCCCATCAGAACCTAGACTCCCTTCTCACCAGAGACAGTCCACGGTAGTCTCCTGCTTAGCATCTCCCAAGATGGGGACTTGCCTCCCCCAGCAGTCTGCTGAGTCAGGAAATGCACACGTGTCTCCAGGGTCCGGACGGGTGATTTGCCTGAGCAGAGCCATCCAGGGATTGCCATGGGAGACGCCGGGTTCCTGGCGGAGCACATCTAAAGTAAGGACACAGGAGAAGAGCTGGTGGTCACTGCTGAAGGACCAGGGGAGTGGCCGGCCTATAGCCTCACTCTCAGGGCCCCTCAGGGCCGCGGCCAGCGAGCAAGTGTGGCCCAGTGGTCAGGACAGGCCCAGGGACAGCAAGTGCAGAGGCCCTGAGGGTGCAGAGCCTGGGGCCACATCAGAATTGAAGAGGTCCCAGGAGTCTGTTTTGTATAAAGATGGGAGCCCCTGGTTTGGGGGAGTGGGTGCCATGATCTGAGTGTTTAATGCTCACCTGAGCTGCTGTGTGGACTGGCCTGGGTTGGGGAAGCAGGTGCAGACTGTCAAGGTTGTCCAGGCAGGAGGGGAGGCGACCAGGAATGTGGATGGTGGTGCAGAGGAGAGAATGGGGTGGGTTTGAGTGGCTAATTTTATGGTAAGACGACTCCCCCATCAGACTCGAACCCCCCTCTGCATTCCCTGGCGATCCCCTCCCCCACCATCAGCAGGGCCCTTGGCCTCGATCCTCTGGCTGGTTTGTGTCATACTGGTATGGGCAGGGGAGGCCTGGTCAGGAGAACTGGGTATGAGTCAGCCCAGTCCCTGGGCTGTGGGGTGACCGCGTGGTAATTACTCGCCCCTCTGAGCCTTGGTTTCTGTGAGATAGGTCGGTGCCACGGTTCGGAGGGGAGAATGGTGAGGGGTCAGGCACACTGGCTGGCAGGGTGGGGGTGGTGTAGTCTGGGGTCTTTGCTCGACTCTTAGGGTGATGCCCAGCTGGGCTGTGGGGCAGAGGCCTCTGAGCTTGACTCACCTCTTCGCCCTCTTGTGCAGGAGCCTGACACAGACCTGGAGGTGGTGCTGGAAAGGAAGGGCAACATGGACGAGGCGCACATAGACCAGGTATGGCCAGTACTTCCCGCCCACACCACTTGCCCGCAGAGGCCACCAGGCCAGCTTCTGTGGTGTACCTGCAGGGGCAGGGAGCTCCTGGCACCACACTTCACAGGGGAACCCCTTGACTGCCCATGGCTTATTGTCCAGTTCAGAATCCAGAGCCGAGGCTCTCCCCGCCTTCACCAGGACCCTTCTGATCTCAGTTTGGGAGCTTTTAGGGAAGTTGTTCCACATAGACCAGCTTCGGCTTCTGTCATGCCCAGATCCCCCAGCAGATGCATCCTGGTGGGACTGGACTTCCTGGTATTGGGCTGTTTTTGGGATCCTGGACAGAGAGGCCAATAGTACTTGCATAGACCCGGTGTTGGACCACCACTAACAGGTGACTTGGGCACTCACTGCACTGAAGGCCAGGTGTATGAGCCTCTCAGCAGGGGCCCGCCTCACCTGTGCTGAGTAAGGGGCCTTTGCTGTGCTTTGTCAGCAAGTAACAGCTGGAAGCTGAGTGAGTGCCAGAGAGCAACAGGGCACCTGCCTGGAGAGGGAGCAGGTAAGAGATTTAATAGTAGTCCTCACTGTTAACCCTTTGTAACATTCCAGATTTTTCCTTTGTAACTACCATTTTAAAGCACTCTGCAGTCGTGCTGTGTGACTTACTCTGTTTGCCCTGGGCACATCTGTATGGATGTGGGCACATCTGCAGCATGACCTCACTGTCAAGTTCATGACCCCATTTGTTTTATGTAGTTTTGAACTCTTATCAGTGGACTCCCCATTTTGCAGCCATAGCAGATGGGGAAGGAGGAGGAAGTGCCACAAGTTGGGGCAGCCAAAGTCATACCTTTGGGGAGAGGAAAAGGCCCTGGAGGCCTTCACGTCTGGGGGTGGGGGGGGGTCACTGGTGTGCTGGTGGGGGCCTGGGACTGTCTGGCAGCAGCTCAGATCTGCCTGCTCTGTACCAGGCGCTCTGTTGGGCTCTTTCTGTTTCTCCCATTTATCCCCCAATGTTTCCGTCTGCAGATACAGACTAGGGATCAGAAAGGTTAAGTGACTTGCCCGAGGCTGCACAGCTGGTTAGCGGCAGGGCCAGCAGACACAGGAACATCTGCCTCGCTCCACAGCTCGCACACTGTGGCAGTCTGTGCTGTCCTCGCAGGAGTTAACTTTGGTGTAAGAAGTCAGGACTTCGGGCACTGTGCGGGGAAAGTCTCCACCCAGAATGGCTCTTATAACGGAAAAGATTCTACCGTTGGAGGTGGATAGGCTTCAGTTTCTAGGACAATTCGTTCTTCCAGAACCCTGGCTACAGCAGGATGAATGAGACTGGCCCACTGGAGCCTAAGGACCACAGCCTCCAGCGTAGAGGCCGCCGTGGACAGACACCCCCAGCTTGCAGCAGAGGAGAGCCGCACTCCCTCCTGCTTCCCTCCAGCTCCATCTCTGCTGGGTTTCAACTTCAAAAGAAAACACTATGTTAATTTCTTCTTTTTCTTTCTGCTGCTCAGGTGAGGCGAAAGGCCTTGCAAGAAGAGATTGATCGAGAGTCAGGCAAAACGGAAGGGTATGAATCCAAGAAGTGGATGGTGAGTTTGCAGCTCAGACTCTGCGCCATGGTGCACTTGGGTCCTGACCTGTCCCTGCTGCCGGGCAGCTGGTAGAACGGCGGGGTGGATGGGAAATCAAGTGACTCCTACCCCAGCGACAGTCCCAGCCAGCAAGCTCTCCCCCACTGAGCTTGTCCTCCCTCCTCGAGCTTGCCTCCCTCCTCGAGCACTAAGCACTGAATCTTTATCTGTGGCTCTGAACAGTGGAGAGGGGTGTCCCTCTGGCACCAGTTGCCAAGGGCATGTGATGACAAGTTCTTTCTGGCAGGGGAAGTGTTCTCAGAAGGCTGCTGGGACAGGGCTAGGAGACTAAGGCGAGAGGGGCCATGTGTGGCAGAATGGGGAATTTCCGAACTAGCCCCTGGACGGCAGGACAAGACCGTGCCAGGACCACAAGTCAGGCTGAAGAGCTGGTGATGCTGTGCCAGCCTTGGCCCCTGGGAGTACTTGCCCTGGATACTAATGCAGTCAGAGCTGCTGGGGGGCGTGTGTACAGGGGAAGTCGGGAGCTGGGTTACCCAGCTCAGCCTGCAGGCCACAGGCCTGGGGTGGTGGCAGAGGGCAGAGACAGATTTTTAAAGCCACCTAGCTGTTTCTCCTAGCTTCACAGTGGCCCAAATGCAAGCATAATTAACAGCCTGAAATTTCTAGAATGAGGCTGCCTCTGACAGCCTGCATGGGTCTGAGGACTGCAGTGACCCGGCTTATGTGTGCCAGTGCTGCCAAGGGCCACTCACCACTTGGCTTGTGGCCCTTCCCCTGCTGGGCCTCCGCCCCTGCTGTAAGACGCAGTGCTGCTCTGAAGAGAAATGCACTTCACACTCCCACCTGCCTTCCTCCACTCCAGCTGACAGAAACCTTGGGCTGGTGGACAGGCCGCCAGCTGGCGAGGTGTGCTGTAAGGTGAGGCACCAGGTCTTGAGGTTGAGGTGAGGTGAGCTGTGTGTGCTGTCTGCCAGGAGCCAGGGAGGAGGAGGAAGGCCCACAGGCAGCTCCTCTGAAGGTGGGCTCCCATGTTTGCCGGAGATGAACTCGGTCGGGCTACCCATAAGGCTTGTGCCCCCAGCCACGCTGCCAGCCTCTGTGCCCTCCTCGGTCACCTGCAGTGGTGACGCCTTCTCCAGGGGGCTCTTGTTAGGGTTAAGAAGGTGTGATCTCTGGCCTGGGCCACAGCAGGCTCTGGATCAGCTGGACCCTCCCTGGTGAGGCTGGGGTCGGAGGGGGAAAGGGGCTTTGGAATGCAGAAAGATAACCCCCTTTTGTTCTTTGAACACAGGGACCCCAGTTTGGCCAGTGGGATACTGCTGGTTTTGAAAACGAGGAAAAGAAACTGAAATTTCTCAGACTCATGGGTGGCTTTAAAAACCTGTCTCCTTCACTCGGCCGCTGCAGCACGATGGGAAGGTCCAACATGGCCCTCAACAAGAAGGCGGCCGACTCCCTGCAGCAGAGCCTGCAGCGGGACTACGACCGCGCCATGAGCTGGAAGTACAGCCGGGGGGCCGGCCTCGGCTTCTCCTCCACCCCGGACAAAATCTTTTTTATTGACAGGAACGCTTCCAAGTCGATAAAGTTTGAGGATTAAACTCCAATGTGTTGTCCCCCAAAACGACCAGAACTACTTTTATTCTTTAGTTTTGCAGGTGAAAGCCATCGGACAGTTGTCTGGGCCCGACTCCTGGGGAGATCAAAGACAACTGCGTTGATGTGCCGGGACAGACGGGGCGGGGGGCAGCGCCTGTGTCAGGAGCCAAGGAAGCAGGAGTGGCTGCCAGCTGCTGTTTCCCGCCATAAGCATTCCGTACCATGTGAACATCCGTGCGTGTACATGGTAATGCTCCATGTTTATGGGGTGCTTAGCACATGCCCGGCACATACTAACATGTTTCCCTCACGTTAATGTAGTTCATCTTTGTTGTTACAAAACAGGTGCTATTATTATCCCCATCTTATAGATGAGGAAACCTAGGTTCAGGGATGAAGTAATAAAATTGCCCGGGGTCACTCAACCAGTAAGTGCCAAGTGTGCTTTGTACCCCAAGCCCTTTGTCACTGTGCGCTGCACTGAATGTCCCGCCCAGGGAATTCCACCCTGGGTCCTCGTTGAGAACGAGGCTGTCTTCTGATCAAAGGAACAGGCGTGATATCTGAAGGAAGTGGAATGAATCAAACGGGAAGAGCAGCTCATTTTCCTTTCCCGCCTCAGGGTAGCGACAGGCAGAGGCATCTGAATTGCTCCCCAGCTGCTGTGGCTAAGTTTCCTCTGCTACTGGAAAGTGTTTCTGAACCAATCTGGCGCGCTCCAGCTGCCTGCCTGCACTCCTCCATGCTGAGCTTGGATTATTTCTCTTCGAACTGGATTCTGAGCGCGGCGTCTAGAGGACAGGTAGTGTGTCTACTGTGGCGGATTCCCAAGGGTGTGTTTCAGTGGACTGTTTTCACTACAAAGAAGAGAAGCCCAGTGACAGCTGTGGCTGATGGAGTGCCAGGCGCATGGCGTGTGGGAACGACCCAGGAAGATACCCTGGGACAGTGTTTCCGGCCAGCCTCACAGCTCCAGGAACAGCGCCCAAGGAGCATGTGACGACCACCTCTCCACCCACCTCGCATTTCACATCCCGAAGTACAGGTTCTGTTTGAGACATTTCCACGTGACTTGGCCTGAGCTCCCCCCGAGTCCAGCACGGGCAGGTCTAAATGGCAGGAAGTCCTGACATCGGAAAGCGAGTCCGCACCTCGTCAAGGAAACCCTCTCTTCCTCTCTGCTCCGTCATCAGTGTTGGCTTCATCTGTGGTGGAAGGGAGGCCACAGCAATTCCAGGCAATGTGTTAAGACAGTAGAATGTGAGGTTGAAAATAACGTCGTGGTTCAAGGAAACTTCCAAAAGCCTCTCAAGAGAATCTTTTTAGTAACTTAGGGCCTAGCAACAGGTCACATAGGATGGGACTTGCCTTCTCGACTCAGTAGATCACTAGTGGCTTGAAAGTTACATCTGCTCAGAGGAAGGCTTCTTGGAGTCTGGTCCTGGAGCATTCTGACCAGAGGGCTGGGCAGCTACGAAGCAAGATGCCAAGTCTCAGGACGGACTGGGCCTCGTCATTGAGCAGGGCTGTCTGCGGCAGTCCGTGGGTCATGGCGGGGGGCTTTACTCTGAGCTGCTGTTAGCTGGGCTTCTGTCCTTTGTAAATGACACCGTGGCCTGAGCCCCCTGCCCCTCAGACCCCATGTCCAGGGCTGCCCTCAGGTTGTCTGCGAGTCCTTTTGGTGCCATTTCCTGTGTTCTTTGGGCCCTGGCCTAATGTGTAACAGTTTGTCTCCACTGAGACATGGCAGTTTGGGGGTTTTTACTCAGGATCTGAGAGAAATGGACAGGGGAGGTTGGCGTAGAGCATGGCCAAGTTCTCTCGAATATTTCACAATCCTGTTTCTCAAACTTGGCTATTTTGTTTTAGGATTTCTCACCAATGACCCTCCCGTGACAAGGTGTGCCCTCACAGCTACCCTTATCCAGCTGTCCCCGAAGCCTCATGATTCTTACTGGCCCTGGGAACAATTTCTGCTCTGTCTCTGCCTTAGCCCACAGGCTCTGCGCTGAGGCCATCTTGCCATAACTAGACTGGCCCCTCAAAGTATTTGCCAAATAGACACAGTTCTCCCCCAAGAGAAGTTGTGTATTCAGCTCTACAACTTGGATATGTGATTGGCAGAATAATGCCAAACCCCATGCCCCCAAAAGGGGCCACATCATAATTAACCAGATTTTGTGAAGGTTAGGTTACAAGACAAAAGGGAGTTTAAGGTCACAGAAGAAATTCAAGTTGCTAATCAGAATTAGGGACTTGAGAGTCAGTGTTGAAGAGACTCAGACTTGACAAGCAGTTGCTGGTTTTGAAGGAAGCAGCCACAAGCCAAAGAAGGCATTAGGCTTCCAGGAGCTGGAAAGGGAGTGAAAACCAATTCTCTAGAACATTCAAAACTTAACAGGGCCTCGCCAATGTGATTTTAACCCAGTTAGACCAGCTGGAAATCTTAACCATGCAGGGTGATAAACCTCGTTCAAGCCACTAAATTTGTGGTAATTTGTTAAAGCAGCAAAAAGAAAAAAAATGCAGGTCTCAGAAGTTTCCCTCTTTTTTACCTTATTTTCTAAAATTGTTGCTTGGATTTATTATTCCATAATGATAGTGGTCTTCATTCCATGTAGGCTATGGTCTTCAGACACTAGCAATTTGATTTAGTAACAAGATGGAGAAAACTACAAAAGAACACACAGAAGCTAAGGCCCCGCCTCAGCCAGGTGAGCCAGGTGACAGGTGACCGAAGTCCCTTTGGCGTGAGGTTTCCCTGATGTTGTGTGAAATTCCAAGTTCAGGTTAACATAAAAGCATTTAGAATTTACTGACCTTGGCTTGGGAGCCAGTGGGCACCAGTAGAAGTGACTGCAAGGACATAATTTGCAAATCTGCCAATTGTTTTTCATTGAAACAGTGTATAGTCAAAGTGATGTAGGAATTATTTAACAAATAATTTGATGACATAAAGGCTACTTGGAAATAGCTAGGCGATACCACTGTGCTCCCTGAGTTTTATATGTTCTTAAAATAAATGTTTATAAACTCATGATTACACTGAATAGTTTGGGGCCAAGAATATGCTGTGGAATTTTGAATTTTCTGGCCAATTTAATAAGCACACATCCCACTCCCCAGCAACTCTGTTGAAAAAAACAGCAGGTCAGAATACTTTTCCTCCCCTTAACGGAACGAAAGATTTTAGCCCCTTTTCCTGTTTGAGATGAACTGAAAACCCCAATGGTGTCCCAGGGCAGAGATGAAATGTCACTGTGTCCAGGGAGACCTGAAGTACAATCGCTGAGGGCCCTTGTAATCTACAGCTGGGATGCACGGTCCTGAGCAGGGGCTTCTAGGCTGTGAATCACCAATCAGGCTCTTACCAATTGGAAGTCAATGTCAGTGGAAGCTCACTGGTGATAATAGGATCCAGATTCCACCAAGCAGGGTAGAAAAGTTGGCAGAATAACTGCTGCTTACAAGCAGGACGCACAGCAGACCGGGCGACGCATTGAGACGCACGCTCTTTCTTCTGGACGAACAAGTAATTAAATGAACAGTCATGAGTATAATGTTCCTGCAGGAGGTTTATTCAGTCACAGACCCTTGCCACCAAAGCCATGGGGAGTCTCAGGTTTGACCTCACTTTCTCAGACTTGATCTATCCACAAAATCCAACCGAGAGCTGCTTTTGATAGCAAAATGAATTAACTGAGCCAGCTGCTTTTTAGAAGTCTTCAAGGTGGTGTAGGCAGCATTCCATCCCATTCAATTCCACAGAGAGCAGCAACAGCTCTTTAAAAGGTTTCTTTTCCAAACAAACAAAAAGACCTTCCAGAAACAAATTGCTGTTACCTGCATTCTTCAGCTCCTCTCTTGCTAAAGGCCCTCCTGATCTTCCCCAGGCTCACTGAGCCCCCGAAGCCCATGTGTGCAGAGACCCCCCGGTGCTTGGCTGCTGGCTGAATGGGACAGCATGTCATGGCCCCGCGCTTCCACTGTCAGATCATCAGGGTAGAGGCCAAGACCTGACCCGGTCTGTACATGTATGAAAGTTACAAGAGGCAGAGCAGGTCTTGGGACATCACACCACGGCCCTCCGGGTCAGGCCCTCGTTTGCAGGGGCAGCCTGAGGGCCAGCTCAGTCAGATGACCCATGTCTGGCTGTTTGCTTTGCCTCTTGATATATTCCAGCGTTTTCACCTAGGAGGAAAAAGAAAGATCCATCTCCTTTCTGATTCTTAAATCTCTCAATCTCAGAGCCCCAAACTGGCATTGAATCTTTGAAGGTTAAAAGTGGGAGGGAGGGGAAGGGACCAGCAAACTCTAAAATAAAACTTAGATTACCACTTGCCCTTAAAAAAATCAGATCTGGGTGTGATCAGTAATGACCGATGTTTTTATATGTGTGGTTTTCATTCAGAGGGAATAAACTTAATGCTACGCTTAAGGACACAAAGTCACCATGTGGAATCACATGGAAAGTCACCATGTGGAAATCTGGGACCCAGGGCTTTTCTAGAAGGGGAGACTGAGGCTAGGGCCCTGGAGCTGTGTTACGGCCGGCTGCACTCTGGCTGGTGGGCTTGAGCTGCTCACCAGGACCCCTATGCCTGGCGGGCTTGTCGAGGCTCCCCCCTTCTACCCCCAAGTCTCACCATGGCCCTGGTGTCTGCACAGCCGTGCCTCTGCGCCAGGTGCCACAGGTTGACGGAGAGCTGGTTGAGCCTGTTGTTGCGCAGGTCCCCGTGGGCCAAGATGCTGTTAAAGAAGGAAAGGCCCAGCGAGCTCTGGCGTTTCAGGGCCTAAAATCAAAAAGGAAGTGATGTTAGGTTAGCAGGGGCTGGGGCAGGTCACGCCAGTTCATGGGCTGAGAGACTGGATAAGATGACACACTTCTCTGGGGACCTGTGGCCTCCAGCTGGCCTCCCATGTGGGCACCACTCATGAAGCAGAAGCAAATGAGACTCCATGAGATTCCCACACTCAGGGGAGTCGAGGCATGAACCCTAACCAGCATGCAACCCCCGTCTTTAATGCAAGTACTACTGAACACCAAAAGGCTTGTGTCCTTAAAGGTTGTGTCCTTAAGCCTCTCGGAGCTGTCACTGTTCCTGAGCCTGTAATAAAGGTCCATCAATGGCTCCCACGAATGACCCCCCTGATGCCCACACCCTGCTTTCCCAGGAACCATCCTTCACGCACAGCAGATGTTTCCTTTCGTTCAATAATCTGATAGGGGAGGTAGGTACCCAACCAAGAAAAGTAACCACAATGTCAGGGGAGACCAAACGTGAACCCCAGCTTTGAAAACGGTGAAGACCAAAGAGAAGAGCCACACCCCTCAAATCCAGCAACAGGCCCAGGAGGAAGGATCCACATTCCCGAAAGCACACAAGCACCTGGACAAGCCAAGTCAACAGGTGGGCCTGTTTCAGGGAGTCCTGGGGCAGATCAGTCAGGCGTTTGTGAACTGAGAGGAGGTCCCAGGCCCCGCTGGGTGCTCCCCGCCGGCACCACAGAACCTCAGTGCAGCAGGAACCTCATTCTCACCGGCACCAAGGGGCAGCTTCACGTGAGCTGGGTGAGGGAGGCTGAGTGCAAGGAAGGCACTTGTCCCCTCCAAAGCGAGATGCTTCAGCAACACCCTGGACCAGGTGGCCGCTGCACCAAGTACATACAGCACGACCGCACACACGTGGCTGCCCCATGCCACCCCCAGGCTGCGGGCACTGGCGTGGCACAGGCTACCTGGCTGGTGACCAGCTGCTTTGGGTTCCTTTGTCTGATCAGACAGAGCAGTTCTGCCCCCATCGGAAACCTGGGCAGAGGCTGCCATTCAGTGATCTGCTCGCCTGGGAGCACAGGAGGGGCCATTGCCAGCTCAGCTCTAGAGAGCCAAGGCCAGAAGAAATGCAATTTCAGTCCAGTTAAGAGTCTTCCCCTTGAAGTGGAGAGATGTTGAAAATGATATCTCACTGGCTGTTTTTTCCTCCTGTTCAGTATCTTCTCAGTGAGCTTTATACCCTGAGAAGCTCTGTACCCCAAGAAGCCCACTGCAGACTCACTGCTGGCGGCAGGACTGAGGGTGAGAAGGCACACGGTGGCCAATGAAGCGAAGACCCAGGAAACCATGAACACGTGATGAGAACCAATCAGGGCCTCTAGCTCCCCCACCCCGGCCCTCCATGCCTCCGGAAGTTTTAAATAGAAAAGAGTGTCTTTTCATTCTTTTCCTCTGAGAACTGTCATTTCCAGGAAGTTCTAAAGGGTCTGGCAAGGTTCCCAGCCTCACCACACCCAAACAAACATCTTTATAAAGCTTGTGATTTGAACAGGGTTGGCTCCTACCAGGGGCATTTAAAAGACGATTTTGGGAGCAGGGGTGCTGCCAGCGCAGAGAGGTGAGCCTCCAGGACTGGCAGTGGGGTTTCCATAAAGCAGGAAGCTTCCTCCACACGGGGTGGAGAGAAATCTGACCGCCCTCATCACCAACCCCAGGGGCTCCCATCTTCAGGGCCCCTCAGGGGTACCATCTCCAGAGCCCCCCCGCCGAATCTCACCTCGCAATGTCAAATGAAGGATGGCCTGTTCCGCTCCAGCCACACTGCCCCCCGCGGCTTTCTAATAAATGTGCATCTATGCACAGACATTTTCAGGGAACGTCCCTGGCATTTATGCACGTGGAAATGTTCTGGGGGAACACCCCAGCTTTGCTTTTCCTTCAGAATTCTGTTTCAGAGTCCTTATCACCATCAACACCCTGTGCCCCAAGAGCAAGAGGCACAAATGGTGAATAAATATAGTTTCATGTGACACAGTTCTTGGCTTTGTTTTTAATGGTGAGTTTGGGGGTTCTAAGCCTGATCATTTATGCTCTGATGAGACTTAGCCTGTTGCATGAGAGAAGAAATGTGTTTTCAAACCACTCAGCACATTGTTTTTGGGTGCGCTTGTGAATCCCCTGGCCCTGCTCTAAGATACCCCTGGGCTAGAAGCTAGAGCAGCGATGATGGTTTTAAGAATCAAGGAAAGAAGTTAAGAATTTTCCATGGCAGGGGTAGCAGAAGGGCATGAATTAGTGCAAAAGTGCAAGCTGGAGGAGAAGGCTCGAGTCTCTTGGAGAGCAGAGGGGCAGAAGGCTCCTCCTGAAAACCTCTGGGTGGAGACAAGGAAAGCTGCGTGGAGCCCTCATGAGGTCGCCCACGTTTGAAAAAGGCCTTCCGGCTCCAGGAGGAAGTTGCCTCTTTTAACCCCCACTGGATTGATAACCAGCCAAGTGCTCCCCTCATACTAACTTCTCCAGAGTTCTGGGACCTGCAGTCCTGCACCCAGAGGGGTCCCCAGGGTGGGCAGGACACACCCACACATTTGCCCTCCATAGAGAGGGCCCGGGGCTCTGGTCTGTCTCTGCCCTTTGGACAGCTAACCCTAAGATGGCCCTCCGGGCAGTGTCCCTGTTCTTAGCAGAGGCCTCTGGGGATGGAGTCCAGGGAAAATCCCACTCTTCTGCACTTGCTTGAATACCTTGGGGTGACAGGCAACCCCAGATGTACGTGGATGCCTTGCACATGTACACTGACAGCTAGAACCTATTCTGGCTTTTTGGTGGGTGGGGTGGGGAGGAAAGATAAGGAACAAGGTGGCATTTTATACAGTCATGAGAACACACAGCGTTAAATTTAAAGTCCATTTGCTCTTTCCTTGTCTCCCACAGGGTTTGGTGGGATAGGGGACAGGGAGGCCTAAAAGTAAAGCCCAGGAATACAGGGAATCCGGTCAGGGGAAGGAAAGGGGCAGCGGCTCAGGAAGGAAGGGGAACGCTAGCAAGGCTCTGGAAACAGCAGATCCTAACAGCCTTGGGTTCGGGAAAGGGAATTGAGGCGAGCACCGGGAGCGCCAACACATCTGCCAGCGTGAGCTCAGGAACCAGCTGTCGGTGGGAATAAGAAAATTGAAATGCCCCATTTCCAGCAGGCAGCTCGCAGCAGTGAAGAGCAAGACCCAGAGCGGGCGGGGCACCCGCTGACCCAGGGGCGGGCAGGGAGAGGGCAGACACCCCCTCTGGCTCCTGAGGCGCAGCCCCCACAGGCACACAGCACAGGAGAAGATTCCACGCTCAACAGCCAAACCCTCTCTGCCAACCCTGAGGCAGGACCTCCGACAGGGTCCCTGACGGGGATCCACCTGTCACCACAGGCCTGGGCCAAAGCTGCAGAAAAGGAGACCATGGCCCACGTGACCAGGAAGGGGCCTGGGTAGTTATTTAGCTCATACTACATGGACATCCTATCGGCATCAGTCACTCAGCTAGTCATACGGAGAATACGGGAAAACTGAAAAGGCGAAAGAGGCAACAGCTGATCAAAGTGTTTTTCAGTGAAGAGCACGGGTCCCGGGAGCTTGCCATAGCTGACGCGCACACCCTGGACATCTCAGAATGTGATCCAGGGGTGCAGGGACAAAGGGGGGCAGGGGGCGTGGTGCAGGAGGACGGGGCTACTGGAGACCAGTCAGAGAAGGCCTCTGGAGGGGGAATGTGAGCCGGGACCTGAGTAACGGGAGAGGCCGGGCAAACTCTGGGGGAGGAGGGCGCAGAAGGCGCAAGGCCCAGGGCGCTCGGTGAACTGTCGGCACATACACAGGTTACTCACAGGAGTTTCCTTCCAGAGTGAACCAGGGTGCAACCACCCCGAGACTCGAGCACTCAGGAGCGAGCACAGCAGAGGGGCCGGGCAGAGGGACCCACCTCGTCCTTGGCCAGGGTTTTCAGGTGCTCCAGGATCTGAGCCATCACCGTCTCACACAGCTTGTTGTTTTCAGTCAGGAACTTGGAATCTCCCCCATAGAGGCTATCGTTGGAGTCGACTGATGGAATAAACCAGAACACAGCAGTGAGACCTTCCCAGGCTTTCCCAGGAAATCACACAGGCAAATGGAAATGGCAGAAATTTCCCAGTGGGCTTGGGGCCTGGGGACTCACAGAGAAAACACCTGGTCTTCTGGATGGTCTGAGGGGTGTGGCACTATGTTCCCCTCCAGCCCATGTGATGCATCTGTAGCTACGTCCACATCAGCACATACAGATGTGCACGTCAGCTGAAATGGGGGACCAGAATTTCATTGTATGATGGGCCCTCCTGTGGACACTACAGTTTTTTAAAGATTTACTTATTTATTTATACAAGAACCAGGGTACAGGCCAGACTTGCAGGCAGGTGAGAGGATTCACCAGAGACACAGCAGGGAACAGAACAGGCAGGCTGACAAAATACACTGCTGAGGGGAGCAGCAGGCGAGACAGGAGAGGTCTGCTGTGCCTTGTGGGACCCTCGCCAGCTGGCCAGGATTGAACCGCGCTGCAGAAGCTGTAGACAGCGTCACAGCACGGCGCTCAACTGCCTGCACCACCAGGGGAGGCCCTCCAGTTGCTTTCTTTTGAGGGGAGCAGGGGGCAGCCTGCTGCAAAGTCTTAATGAAACCACCAGCTCTGCCTGCAGAGTCCTTTGTTAGCTGATTCCCCCAGGCCAAAGCCCCAAACCGCAACTCGCCCTAGCAGAGCAGTCACTTCGACCAGGGGTAAGCACGTGTGCGCCCTCAGAGGATCCTACACCGCTGCACAGGAAGCCCCCCAGAACCCACAGGTTGAGGGGTGCACAGTGGCATCCTGTTGCTGGGTCTGCTCTGGGGGAGGCCTGAACTCGGGCCCTCCCCAGACGGTGACATGTGATATAGCAGGGGCCACGTGGCGAGGGTGCACTGAGCACGCCAGTTGTCTGCACAGGGCGCTAATCCAGTCTGTGCTTTCAGGACTTCTTTAATAAACCAGGTTCACTTTGGCTTATCTGCTGGAATGTAATTTGTTCTGCTTTTCTTGGCCCAACTGAAGAGCATTCATCACTGTCCCGATCTGAGGAACGAGTAAGGAGGAAACAGCCTTGCCTCGTGGGTATGCAGCATTCCAGAGAGGATATGAAGAGAACACAGTCAGGCTTGTGAGACTGGGTGACGCCAGCAAGTGGCAACACCACAAGCGCGGGACCAAGGGCCTGTGGTTTGGTTTGCGGGCGGCTGAGAGCCACGGCTGGCAGTGCCACCGTGGTGCCCCCCACGAACCGTCCATCAGCACCAGCACAGAAGTAGCCTGGAGCTGCTGGCAGCAAGCTATAGAGTCAGGGGACCCTGGCCTCAAAGACCATGACAAGTCAAGTCCCTGTGCAGGGGTGGTCCCTGAGCTTTGAAGAAAGTGACCCATCGGGGTCACTAATGGGAAAATTGCAAATACATCATTGGTCACAGCATCAAAAATACAGTTACCTGGACTATAATTACATGAAAAAAATAATTCAACTTCAATAGTAATTAGAGAACAGGAAACTAAAAGCAGATTTTTTTCTAAATCACCTATCAGATTAGCAAAGGGAAAAAAGAAAAGTAATACCCAGTTTAGATTAGATCTGGAAAAACTATTGCTGTATCATAGAAAAGTCTTAAAATTTTTCCACTTTGCACCATGATCCGATGGCTATCATTTAAAAGCAAAACAAACAAAAACCCAAAATAACAAGTATTGTCCAGGATGTAGAGAAATTAGAAGCTTTGTGCATTGCTGGTGGAAATATAAAATGGTGCAGCTGCTGTGGAAAAGTTTGGTGGTTCCTCAAAAAGTTAAACATAGAATGATCAGTTAAACATCTGATCATTACAAATGGCTGCTTGTAATGGTGAGATGAGAAGCAATATAAATGTCCTTCAATAGAGCTTTCATTAAATGCTCTGTGGTAGAGCTTAAATAAAATACTATGAAGACAATCAAAGTATATGATCTATAATCACAAACTTTGCATACTACACTGTGCTACTGTTACAACGATTACTAAAAGGTAAAAACAACAGAAACAGTACACATAGCAGAGCCTTTGAGATACAGCACCTGTTTATCTCCCAATTTAAAATTTCCTAAGAACCCAGTTTTTTATTCAAAAACGAGACTTAATTATTTTATATGTTTCCTATAAGCTGTCTTGAATCTTTTCGAAGAATGAGGCCAGTGTAAGCCTTTAGTCATTGATTAACTGATAAAACGAGACACAGGACTGTATGCTGAATGTCAGGAGGGAGGTCTGGGTCCTAAGAGCCAGCATGGGATGGCGAGATTATGGCTAACTCTTAAAGGCTGAATTTACTCGAGAGAATGGAAAAAGGGGAACAGGAGAGGGGAGATGAGTTTCCTTGCTAGCACTTGGTGGTGAGAGGGAAAACAGTGTATTTGGGAATTAGGGGGTTAGCCAGGCCCCAGTACAGAGCAGGCTGGAGAATCCAGACATGGCTCTCAAGAGGGGGAAGAAATGATATGCCTGGCAAATGGCCACTAAAAATAGCCCACCATCTCCGCATCTGTCTGGCCCTGGGGTCACCACCCCAAGTGCTTCAACGGCCTGGCAGGTGATGCGCAGCAGGGGGGCTACACTGGCTTCCCAGCAGCCTCCTGGGCTGTGCTTTTCCAAGCAGATACGCTTTATCTGCATATTAAGCACATAAGCAGCCAGTGTACAGCAACAGCCTTCCCTTCCGGCTCAGACAGGCTCACCACAAGCTTGCTCATGCTCTCACCAGCTCGCATGGAAGCACTGAGTGACTGCTCCAGGTAATTTCAGAACATTCTCTTCTTATTAATCTGGACATCAAGAAGCTAAGTCATCCTTCCTAAATGCAAAAATTTCCTTAAGCACTGTTTTTTAGAAGTCTTAACTTGTGTCAACATGGTCTAAAAGGCAGCTTAGAATTACAAAGGGATGAGGAAAATGGAGCTCCATTGCCTGAAGGCATCTCAGGCCTCCTGGGTCTCTCTCCCACCAAGACAATTGTCAGGTCACAATGGTGCATCCAAAGTAAACACAGCTGGGCCAAGAAGAAGGAAAAGAAAACCCTTCCTGTTTTCATCTCTAGCTAGACCCCACCTAGCAAACGCAGCCTTGCTGCCTCTGCCAGCTCCCTGGCTCTGAAGCCTGGCTCCAACGGCTGCCCTGGCTGCACGGTTACAAGAGGGTTCACTGATCCAGTCTGAGAAGAGGAGAGAGAAGGGCAGGAGAGAAGTGAGGGCCTGCAGAGAGACAGAGCCCATCGTGCAGAGACCCGTTCCCATGTCAAAAGTTTCTCTACTCTTCAGGGCCCTCAAAGGGCACTTCTCAAAAAAGTAAAAGTGCTCACCAGAGGAATGCAAATAAGACTCATTGCAAGAGCCAAAAGGAAAAAGTGACCACACCAAGGGAACAAATGGAATCATCATTCTGGTTGGAGGGAGTGTCAATTGAGCTAACCATCTTGAAAAAAGTGAAGGCTATAGACCAAATGCCATCACAAGCAAATTCCATGAGTCAGCAATTTCACCCCAGGAATATATGCAATAGAAATGTACACCAAGAAACATGTACAAGAATATGCACAGCAGTGCTACTCATAAAGTTTAGAACAAGAAGTGGAAAACAGCAAATGTTCATCCATGGGGGAATGAATGAACTCTATTATACAGTCAATTGTGACTTCGTGACAGGTCAATGTTCTGAGAAATGCTTTTTGCCTTATGAGGTGCATGACTACATCATACAGGGGAATACTATACAACAGTGCAAAAGGATGAGCCATGACTACAAACAGCATAGGTGAATCGCAACGATATAATGATGAGAGAAGCCAGACACCAAAGAGTGTTTGCTAAACAATTCCATTTATATCAAGTCAAAACCTAGCAAAGGAATTTGTAATGCTGAAAGTCAGGAGAGCAATAAACCTTGAGAGAGGAAAGTGGTGGTGCAGACAGGAAGGAGGTATGTGGGGGACTGCTAGGGAACTAGTAATCCTTGTGTGTGTGATGCACACCACAGTTCCAGCTGTCAATTCTACTTCTTTCACTAACTGGCCACCAGTTTTTGAGTAAACCATGTCATCTCTCTGAGTCTCCCTTGCTTTTATGTAAAACAGGGACACAAACACATGTCCTCATCACAATGCTAAAAGAATATTGCAAAAAAGGCCCGTAGTCTAGTACTGTACCTGGCACACAGAAGGAGTCAACATCGACGTGAACCAGCCTCCCTAAATTACATCTTTACCATCAGCCCTAAGTCCCTGCTAGAGAAAGCTTTGAGAGTTAGGACAGAAGGCCATCCCTTGGCCTATTAGCCCCCTGAATTTCCAGGCATATAGGCTGCTTAAACCCTAAAGTACACAATTACTGGCTAAAGTACTCTTACCAATAGGGCCATTTTTTGCTAAGCAAAAACTGGGATGGCCTAATAAGCAGGAAGAGATTCAGACTCAGCAGCCAGAGGTATGGAATATGGACTGTCCCGCATTACTTCTAGGACATGAGGCAGCTGCTCCCAAAGTTGAAGCAGCAAGTTCAAAATGGCTGGTCAGAGGAGGAGGAGGAAGACACGTCCTTCCTCCAAAGTCTCTGGCCTATGGCTCACTGAGCCTCGCCATGGCCTGAGGAACTGGGTGAAATCACCCAGATGAGAGTCCTACCTGGGCCGCCCACAGGAGCAGGCCTGGGAGGAGGCTCACGCATGCACATGTTTCCCCGCTGCCCCAGGTTCCCGAGTGGCGCCTCAGAGAACGCTGATCCGAAAGACAGCTTCTTGTGTCAAAATGACCCCAGATGCTTATAAGTAAGACACATTCTCAGGTCTCTTCCTGGGGATTTCTTGTGACAAGGAAGTAGACACAAGGGTCGAGGCAGGGGGGCTGGGAGGCAACCGAGCCCACCAGCTCCCCTCAAATCCCCCCTCTCTCTCTGTGTCTCTCTGTCTCCCGAAGAGGAGCACAGTGTGGCGCTACCTTTGTCAATGTGGTAGAGATAGGTCTCCTGGCTCATGGCGGACAGGAGGTGCAGGACGCAGGTGTAGATGCGGATTTTATCATCGCCGTTGTCCTCCCAGGTGTAGTCCTGGATCACATTGAGGAGTTCTCGAACAAGGAACAGGACACCGTGCTCAGGATGATCCTAGTGGAAAGCCAAAAAAAGGATAAACAATGGTAGTTTATGAAGCAGAAGAAAAAAATGGAGGGGGGAGAAAAATCAAGATAGAAACCCAGGTCCCTCCCTTTAGCAGCTGCAGGGAAGTCAAGTGCCAGCTACTTTACAAAAGAGCAAAGCCCACTCACGAGCCCCATTAAACAATACAGAGAAAACCGACAAAATGCTGCTCATCCCACTCAGCACGCAGCTCCCGCCTGGGCAGACAAGCATTGAGATCCTCCCTCTCTGGGTAGGAGGAAGAGAAAGCAAAGTTACCTGTCAGCTTAATGGCCTGTTTCTGAAAGTAACAATCTTGTCCTTATGTGTGCAGTAGTAAAGATCCCTCTTCCAACGACAAAAGCTAGATTGCAGGTCTGGGAGCAGATGGACAGCAGAAGCCACCTACTTGGGGTAGGTCCCCCGGGGATCACTGTCACCGCCGAAGGCACCGAGGTAAATATAGCCTTGCTCTTTAGGGTTTTCGACTTTTTTTTTAAAAAAAGATTTATTTATTTATACATACAAGAACTGGGGTACAGGCCAGAGGTTTTTTTGGGGGGTGAGAGGATTCACCAGAGACAGAGCAGGGAGCAGAACAGGCAGATCTACTTAATTACACTGCTGAGGGGAGCAGTGGACAAGTCAGATCTGCTGCGCCATGTGGGTCACCTCCCTGGCCGGTGATTGAACTCGTGCTGCAGTGGCTGCAGTGAGCTTCATAGGTTGTGTCTTAACCCCTTGCGCCATCAGGGAGGCCCCTAGGGTGTTCGACTTTAACAGCTAAATTGAGGAGGCTCTCTGGAGAGGAAAAACTCAAAAGACCATCACAGAGTTTAGAAGAGAGTTGCTCAGACGCGAGACTGTATCAAAAATGTGCTGGGATGCAAAACACTCAGGCAGCAGCGCTTTCATAATGTGTGAGTATGGGCCCAGGGCCTTAACTCTCCTTTAACTCTCCAGAGTAAAGGTGGCTCTGCCCCACTGCCTTGCTGACTCATTGCCCTCATTCATGCTAATCGCACCTTCAGGGCTCTAGGACCAGCGGGATGGCTCAGGGTCCTGCAGGACACACAGAGCACTCACACCCAGGGGTACTGCACCCAGCGGGCAGTACAGGGATGTGCTAAATCTTTGGGCTGGAAGCATATGGTGCAGCGGGGTCGCCTGGGGCAGCAGCTGGGAGCTCTTGGTAGAGGAACAGTCTTCGTCAAATCGGGGCTCAGGGAGTGTGGGGGACAGAGGACCCCACCTTGCTCTCCTCCAATCTGCCCCGGTACATCACTGGCTGAACTAGCTGGAAGTCAGGACGGCAGTCAGCGCAGGTGACCCGGTCCCTGAGGCCAAGCTCCCACACAGAGGGGATGAAGGGCAGAGGACGCTTGGTGGAAGGCAGTTTTGGCCTCCCAGCCCCATGGTTCCCTCTGACAGGAATCTTAATCTCCAGCTCTTGGCCACAAGGGCTCCCTGACAGTCTCCAGACCTCACCAGACATGTCAGCTCCTCAACAGGCCTTCCACCTCCCCTTACTCACAAATCGTCCTGGAAGGCCTGGTGGTGAGGGCCGTGTCCCGCCACTAACATCTATGGGAACGGCTGTTACGACACTGGCAAGAAAGAGACGTGATGTTCAAACCTGAAGCCTCAATCTACACGCATCAAAACTGCCCACGCTGTGATCTGCCTTCCATTTAGAGTCAGCCTCAGCCGGCAACGCTCTTCGGCCCTCGTCTGCTGACAGCTGTCTCTAACTAGGCTATTTTATTCTGCTATGTGGATGTTCCATAGTATTTTTTATTTCAGGACCAGCCTTGGAAACAGACAATAATCTGAATGTTCCATTAACTTTGATTTCAACACCAAAGCCAGAACTATTGTGGAGAACCACTCGACACACCTTCAAAGAGATGGAGAAAGGAGTAACGCGAGGTCAGGATTTGCTGCACCCCATTTCCACGAGCTTTTGCTCACAACCAAAAAGGAGAGGCATTATTTTTGACCTTCTGAACAAGGAAAGAATTTTCCACATGATACCCATGCTTCAGTGGCTGTGACAGTTTATAAAAATCATACTTTGATGGCTTGGTGCCAGAAACTGAAGCAAGGCACACATTTCTTTTCAAAAAGGTAAAAAAAGGGCCTCAGATTCAGTTGGCCATGGGAGTAGAGAAAGGCTCCCCACCTCCATCCTAGGTGTTCCCGGCAAGGCTGTGCTCGTGGGGCACCGAGAAGGGGTTCAAACCTCCATCCCATCTGGTTTCAACCTCTGCAAAATCCCTTTAGGTCCCTGCCGTGTGAGAATCCTATTAAATGTCACCTAATACCCTAGAAAGGGCCAGCCTCAGGGTCAGCTGCCCAGGCAGCAAAGATGGCAGCTGAACACAGACAGCGCCAGCTTTGGATTCTGTCTTGAGCGCTCACTGGCTGGTGACTCTGGGTCAGTCATTTCTTCTGTGGCAGCGTCTGCTTCTGTGAAATGAGGATATTAACAGGCTCTTGGGAGTGAATATTTGTGAACTGCCAGCTGGTTCATGGCAAGAGGCTTGTAAATGTTGGTTCAGTCAAGAACAAAGTCCTTTAGAAAAGGGCTACGCTGGGAGGAAGAGCAGGAGGGAGGCACGCTAGAGGAATTGGGGCCAGAGGGAGGCCAGGAGACAGAGCACCATGGAGACAGGGGGCTTCCCTCTCACTGAGCCTTCCAAGGCTCTGTCTCTCCACCCTCTAGAGTCCCTCCAGCTCCCCCATGCATCAGTCATCACGGGGTGTCCTCCTGCCCACCAGCCTATGCCCACACTACTCCCTCCAGCCACAAGGCTCTCACCTTTCCCCAACTCACTTAGCGAACTACTCGTCTTCCCTCAACCTCAGCTTGAGAGGCACTTTCTCGGGGAACTTCCCCGAGCCAGGTCCCTTCTATGGAGGCGCGCTGAGGCTGTCACCCCCCGAAGTGACAGCTCTACACAGCTGAAGCTAAGTGTGGATTTACTTGCTTAGCATCCTGTCTTGAGTGGGAGTGTAACAGGGTGGTCCCCAAGACAGGGGGGAGGTTCCAGGTTCCCTGCCCCACCCTAATGGAGGGTGGAGCTGAGCAGGGAGAGAAGCTGCAGAGGAGACTGAGGGAGGAGCAGGATGCAGAGCCAGAAGGAGACCTGGAGGAGGCACATTTTGCCGAGACAGGTGAAGAAACTGCGCTTGCCTCTTGGTCGTGGACTGGGTGACACAGATGTGGGTGAGACCCGTGGGGAGGTGACAATGGCGGTTTTTGTCTTGATATTGATTTTGTTCCTTTCCCTCCAGACTTGTCTGGTTGTTTCTGATGCTTTTCTGTGGGTCCCCACTGGAAGATGCTCTGGACTTGGGGCAGGCTTTGGGGCCTTGCTCTGGGCCAATCCCATTTGGATGGACTTTTACCCACGAGGGGACGGGTCACTTTGGGTGCTTCATTTAGAAACTAGATTCTTTGCCTTTCCTGTATTGTTTCCTAGTTGTATTAAAGTTCCTTCCTGGAGGGTGGGGGCCGGGAGGGGAGGGATTGGGCTCAGAATGGGGCATGTGCAGTTGCATGGGGGAATATAAAAATAAAATTTATTATTAAAAAAAAATAAAATAAAAATAAAGTTCCTTCCCATTAAAGTCTCATATGTTTTGTGTTGATGCAGCGGATGGCAGAACCCATTTAGAATAGGCAGGTTTGCAGGGTCTGGGGTGCACCTCTCCCTGCCCTGTAACAGAAGGACCCGCTTCTCTCATTCACTCAAGTCCCAGAACAACAGATACTAGCGGCACTAGGCGGAGTGGATGAAGCTCAGCATCCAGACATCGTGTTATGCCTGTGGCTGGATCTTTCCACGAAGAGCAGACATCTCCCCGCTGTGCCCCAGGTGATTAGTGCCAGAAAACTGGTGGTGACAGCTCCATTTCCTACGCATTCCAACTGCAGCAAAATCAGGCCTCTGAAACTGTGACACTAACTTCTACTTGTCCTACTGAATGTCATTAAAAGAAATGTGTTCAATTATCTTGTGACTTGCTGGCCCCATGCAGCCACCAAGAGGCTGAACCCCACTAACAGTGAAGCAGAGCCGGCTGCAGTGCTCTCAAGAGAGCGGCTATCGGGACCGTGCTCACTTCTGCGCTTGTAAGTGTGGGTAAATGAGCCAGGTACTTTATTTGGTCTAAAATGGCACAAATTTTTTCCTAAAGGAATAAAACGTATCAAAGCTTTCCAAACCCATCTTTAAGAGCCTCCCACCTTGTTGGTAGAGCGCAAAATGGTGCAGCTGCTATGGAAACAGTACGGCGATTCCTAAAGAAAATTGAAAATAGAACTATTCTGTGATCTGACACACCCCCCTTCTGGGAGCTTATCCAAAATAATTGAAAGCAAGGACCTCAAAGAAACAGGAGCACCCCACGTTCCCTGCAGTGCTATTCACAGTAGCCAAGATGTGGAAACAACCTAAATGCCCATTGATAAGTGAATGGATGAAGACACTGTGTGCTGAGCGCAGTCGGAAGAGAAAAAGGAGTTCCCTCAGACGTAGGGTATAGAGAAACAAAACAGGGGAGCAGGAAAACTAAACCAAAACAAACCCCAGAAATCTGACTGCAGAATGCAGACTACTAGAGAGGGCAGGCGGGAGGAAGGCAGCTGGGGGCCCCGTGGACTAGAGGGGTTATGGGCACTCCCATGGTGGATGTGGTGTTGCAACATGCATCAAAAGGTGTGAACCTACACCCCCAAATATATGCAGTACTGTAAACCATTGTTACCTCAATAAAAATAATGATTAAAGAAAATAATGTGGCCCCACGTGGCCTGACTTTTCAAGAGGAACCAAAAATCCAGGTATTTAGTACTAATTTTTAAATGTGTTTTCCATTATTATGTGGCCAACAAGCACGTCCACAGGGGTGGAGTCTACCCCGGGATGCCAGTTTGTAACCCCACGGACAGAGCCTCTAGTCACAGAGCCCTTTCTTGTGTACACTCCATCAAACTTCCAGGCAGGAGAGGTGAGCAGGTTGAGGACCTTTTAGAAAGGTGACTGCTGAGGCTCTGAGGAGTGACAAAAACCCCCAAGGCTACAGGCCGAGGTGCCACTGGGTCAGGACTGAATGCACCCCACATGCAGGCTCTTCATGGGGGTCCAGGAATTTCTCACATGAAGACAACCCCAAATGCAGAAGGAAAACACATTGCAACTAACCAGAAACCCTGCTTTTCTTCCTTTTGTTCCTTCACTTGACAAATAACTAGACCTACCGAAAAAGAGAAACTGAGTATGAGCTGCTGAAGGGGAGGCGGGAAAGTGTTGCAGGCAGGCGCCAGCCCAGCCTCCAGCTCTTTCTCGGAGGATTTGGAATCTGCCCCGAGGAGCTGGGCGCTGAGTCACTTTTTGTTTTTTCAGCTTTGTTGAGACAAAATTCACAAACCCAACAAAGCACCATTTAAAAGGCACAATTCACTGCTTGTTCACATATTCAGAGTTCGGTGACCACCACCACGATCCCTTACAGGACTTATTCATCACCCCAAAAAGGGACCCTGCACCTACTGGCGCGGAGTCACTTTCATGGATGAGGTTCAGAGGGTCTTTTTCACAGTGTGCTCTGAGGAACACCCCCTGCAGAGTCGCTGACAGGGCTTCCAAAAATGCAGATTCGGGACCAATCCCAACCTCCCAACCTCCCAAGAGAGGCTCTCTGGGAGAAGACCTCCCCCCCACCCCCGAAACTGTATTTTAACAAGTCTCCCTGATTCCCAAGCACCTCTGATTCTACCAGGAATCCACCCACTTGGGGCCTGGACCCTGTCACAGCCTGGTGAGGCCTATGGGATCCTTAATGAAAAAATTAAATACATAACACTACAAAGCAAACCAGCTATACTAAAATAAAACCATTAAAATATTCTTTCAATGCATCTGTGCTGTTGGAATCTATTACTTCCTGGTGAATGTGTGCACATGAATTTAATAACTAGTGCACTTTTTTGAGGAAAGAAGCAAGTAACAATCTTCACACCTGAAATGCGATGTGAACATACTGTTATAGGACAGGGAGAGGGGCAGCCCAAACCCCGCAAACCTGCCTATTCTAAATGGGTTCTGCCATCCGCCGCATCAACACAAAACATATGACACTTTAATGGGAAGGAACTTTAATAAAACTAGGAAACAATACAGGTAAGGCAAAGAGTCTAGTTTCTAAATGAAGCATCCAGAGTTACCCGTCCCCTCGTGGGTAAAACTCCATCCATATGGGGTCGGCCCAGAGCAAGGCCCCAAAGCCTGCCACAAGTCTAAAACATCTTCCAGTGGGGACCCACAGAAAAGGGTCACAAACAACCGGACAAGCCCGGAAGGAAAAGAGCAAAATCAACATCCAAATAAAAGCTGCCATTGTCACCTCCCCATGGGTCTCACCCACATCTGTGTCACCCAGTCCACGACCAAAAGACAAGCGCAGTTTCTTCACATGTCTCTTGGCTCCATCCTGCTTCCTTCCTCAGTCTCTTCTTCTGCTTCTCCTCTTGCTGCTCAGCTCCACCCTCCCTTGGGTGGGGCAGGGAACCTCCCCCTTTCCTGGGGACCACCCTGTTGCAATACCAGAGACTTCTTTCAGGACAAAGTCCCAGCTACTGCTGCCACAGCAGTGGCTCATTGCCTATAATTCATAATGGAGCAAAAGGCCAATTTCACTGATACTTGTTAAAATAACAGATGTTACGTATTTTCTCACCAAAACTCATGGTCGCTCTGCCAGACACCCAGGGAGCAGGTGGATCCCAGGTGAAGGACCCCTGCAAGGGTGAGGGTCCCGTGCTGGATCCTGGGAATGGCCTGGAGTCCTTCCCTACCAGGCCTGAAAGCTCTTCTCTTAGGTCCCTCTCCAGCTCTGCTATCGTATTGGAGCTCTGCTATCGTATCGTACTTGCCATCAAAAGAACATTGCCGGGCCTCCCCTGGTGGCGCAGCGGTTGAGGGCTGGGCTGCGAAGCTGCCGGTTCGATCCCCGGCCGCCGGGGAGGGTCCCACATGGCGCGCAGACCTCTCCTGCCGCCCGCTGCTCCCCTCAGCAGTGTACTTCGGTCCTTCTGCCTGCTCTGCTCCCTGCACTGGCTCTGGTGAATTCTCTCACCCTCCCGCGCTTCTGACTGTACCCAGTGCTTGTATAAATAAATAAATCAATCTTTAAAAAAAAAAAAAGAACATTGCCACCACCTTTTTTAGTGCTTAGTAGGTAACAAGGCATTATCCCAGCCACACAGGCCCATTCTCTCAACCTTCACAACAACCAGAGCAGGAGATACTGCTATTATCTCATTTTATAGAAGAGACCACAGCCAGCAATGTCTCATAATTGCCGAGACTACAGAGCTGGAAAAGGGGAGGGGGGGGAGCCCTGAGGCTCCTCTATAGACGTCCTGGTCCTCAGGCCTGTGCCCTTGGCCATTGAGGTCACTCCCAGACCATGCGGAGAGCCAGAGAACGCTGGAAACTACACCGGGCAATTCAAGCCCCTGGCCGGCACGCAGATACAGCCAGGAAGGCCTGCTAGAACCGTCCACAACGCAGCTCATCAAAGACATCTCCGAGAGCCAATGTGGGAAACGTACCGGAACTATCAATAAAGTAGAAAAGAAATTGCACAGGAATTCCAGAAGGAATGACTCCGACGGCCGCATCTTTCCATCAATGTTAATGGTCTTCGGAACTTCTGGAACGAGGCTGATAGCGGCTTTGAAAAAAGCATCCGCTGTAAGACAGAAAGAAATCCAGCTGTAAGAACTCTGAAAAGTTCAGGGTCTGCTTCTGCACACTGCGTGGCAGCCAGTCCTAAGAGCCACTCGAAATTCAGCCCTGATGCGGTTTCTGAAAACCGTAAGGGACTGGGCGGGACATCTGGTTGAGAGGTGCTGCTGTTGCCTCTCAGGTCTCCCTCCCTCTTCCCTTCCTTCTTTCTTTGAATAATTCAGCTGAAAGGACTTTCATCAAATTGACTTTAGATAGTTAAATAAAAAAAACAGGTGGCAACTTTCCACAGCAGCCTAGGAACCACGGTGGCCTGAGCTGAGGGCTCCACTCGGAGTGGCTTGTGGGGTCCTCCTGCTCACCAGGGAGGAAGGGCTGCCAGGGCAGCCGACAGATGCGAAACAAGGTGTACAGGGAGGAGGAAGCGCCCCACGACTACACATGCGATCGGGACTCACACCTGGTCTGCCTCAGGCTACCCGGAGCTCACCGCGTTTGTTAAACAGATAACCACGCACCTGTCTGAGGGCCGACTGCACACATGCACGTGCACACACACACATACACACACTTACTTCACAGATTTCTGACTGGGTAAAAATTTCAAAGGATTATTTGGGATAGAAAGGTATTTTTCCTTTATAAGGTTTTCTGCAAAACAAGAAGACTTCAAAGGGTTGAGAGAAAAGAAGGGAAGAGGTGGGGAGACAATGAAGGATGGAAAAAGGAGATGGGGGTGGGTATGAGGACTGAGCCAGAGAGAAAGGGCAGGGGAGGGAGAAGGCAGGATTGGAGGGGGGTGAGGGAGCGTTCTTTCTAGAACTGCCAAAATATTAACCATGAGAAAAAGCCTCAAGGTCAAAACAAACACTGACCCCTCCAATGAAATTTTATTTATTTTTTTTTAAGATTTATATTTATTTATACAAGCATTGGGTACAGTCAGAAGCGCAGGAGGGTGAGAGAATTCACCAGAGCCAGAGCGGGGAGCAGAGCAGGCAGAAGGACCGAAGTACACTGCTGAGGGGAGCAGTGGGCGGCAGGAGAGGTCTGCGTGCCATGTGGGACCCTCCTCTGGTGGCCGGGGAGCAGCTGGGAATCGAACCGGCGCTGCAGAGGCTGCGGGCAGCTTTGCAACCCAGCGCTCAACCGCTGCGCCACCGGGGAGGCCCACCAATGAAATTTTAAACTCCTCGACAAGATCAAATGTTTGCATGGTCCAAATACACTTCCACTCTGAAACGCCTTCCAGTGAGGCAGAGAGACACGGCTCTGGGGGCAGCCCCCTGGCTAACACCGGAACCCCATCCAGAGCACCAGGGGTGAATGCCCAGGGAACAAACGCCTGCGCTAATGAGAAGAGTGTGTGGGAAGCTGGAAGTGGGTCTTTGGTTTTGTTTTTTTGCCTCCTCTTCCTTTTTGAAAGGGAGAAACCCACTGAATGGAAAGGTACTCCTCAGGGCTCTCTGCATGAAGTCACCTCTGTTCTGGAAGCTTCCTTCCCAGGCTGTCTCTCAAACCCTGCACACACACCTCACCACATTCCCATATGTAAAGTTATTAAGCACCAACTGTGAACAGGGTGCTTAGAGGGCATTGTGGGAGCCCAAGGGGGAAAGAGTGGGAGGAGGAGTGGACACCCTGAGTGTGGTGAGGTCACCAGTGTGATCCCCGTCTGCTCGCTACGAGCCTGTGCTGTGCTCTGCTCTGAGGGGATGTGAGGCAGCAGGTCTTGATCTTGGGCAGAAAGTTACGGGGGCTCTAGGAGAAGGCATCTGGTACACAAATTCCCCAGTGCGAGCACCCGCAGGGCCTGCCATCCTGGTAACAACACTATTCACAGAGCCCAGGGAACGTCAAGGCCTCTCTTGAGGGAGTTTGCACTCTCTGTCCTCAAGCAGTCCTAGGAGGGAGGTGCAACAATTTCCAGTAAGTGGGCCAGGTCACATGGTCCAGGGCTGGCAAAAGACTGAGCTGAGTAGAATTTCAAGGCCATCACCCCTCACCGAACAACAAAATCACATTTGTGTTTTAAAAGACATACAAGTCTGCAAACCATCTATCTAAGGGGTTTCAAAGAACTTTTACAACATCAATAAAACCAAATAACCTGATTTAAAAAATGGGCAAAGGATCTGAATAGACATTTCTCCAAAGAAAATACACAAATGGTCAACAAGCATGTGAAAAGATGTTCTACATCACTAACCATCAGAGAAATGCAATGCAGAACCACAATGAGATTATCATCTCAAACTCATTAGGATGGACACAAGTGGGGGGGGGGACCCCACTAAAGAACAAGCTAACAAAGATGGGGAGATACTAGAACCATGTGCACTGCTGGGAAGAATGCAAAATGGTGCAGCCATTATGAAAACCTTATGGAAGTGCCTTAAAAAAACAAAAAAGAGAATTTCCATCTGATCCAGCAGTCCAACTTGGAGGTATACATCCAAAAGATTTGAAAGCAGGGTCTTAAAGAGATATCTTCACACTCATGTTCACTGCAGCGTTACATATCATACCCAAGAGGTGAAAGCAACCCAGTGTCCACAGGCACACGAACATGAAGATGATATACAACATGGGCCTCCCCAGTGGCGCAGCGGTTGAGCACTGGGTTGCGAAGCTGCCCGCAGCCTCTGTGGCGCCAGTTCGATCCCCAGCTGCTCCCCGGCCACCAGAGGAGGGTCCCACATGGCGTGCAGACCTCTCCTGCCGCCCGCTTCTCCCCTCAGCAGTGTACTTCGGTCCTTCTGCCTGCTCTGTTCCCTGCTCTGGCTCTGGTGAATTCTCTCACCCTCCCATGCTTCTGACTGCACCCAGTGCATGTATAAACAAAAACAAACAAACAAACAAACAAATAAATAAAACATGCCAAAAAAAAAAGAAAATGATACACAACAGACTCTTCTCAGCCTGTGGACACATGCTACAACATGGATGAGGCTGAGGTCATCACACTGAATGAAATAAGCCAGTCACAAAAAGACAGTTACTGGCTGCTTCCACTGATGAGTTACATAAGCCAGTCAGACTCTGGCAACAGGAGCGGAGCCACCAGGGGCTTTGCAGGGGTACAGATGTTCCAGTTTTGCAAGCCGGACCTGCTCTAGAGATCTGCTACAAAACAGTGTGCAGGTGCTCCCGGGGCCATGCCCATTGCTGCTTCGGGATTGGCTCCTGCAAAACAAATGCTGAACACTATTTCCGCTCTTCACCTTTTGTCATAAAAGCAACAATCCTCTCTGGATTTTCTGGTGAGTGAAAACAGGAGCTAATGTAGGTCTTGTAAAAGTTAAGTGATGTAACGTGAATTTTCACAAAGCACAGGATGCCCATGCAGACCCCCAAAGAGCAGAGACTCCAAGAGATACTGGTGCATGAATGCTCACTGCAACAGTAGTCACAACAGTCAGGAGGCAAGCAACACTTCTGTCCAGCAACAGATGACTGGATAAGCAAAAGGTGGCCTATCTGTACAACAGAATATGATTCAGCCTTAAAATGGAATGAAATTTTTTTTAAAAAGAAATGGAATGCTGACGTTACAACATGGATGGACCTTGAAAACACAGAAACAAGTGTAACAGGTCACAGAAAAGGATATATCAGGTGATGCCTCTATGGGAGGCACTGAGAATAGTCTCGTCCACAGAGATAGAAAGGGGGGGAAGGGGTGTTTGGAATGATGGAAAGTTCTGGAATGGAGTGGTGATGGTTGCAGGGCACTGAATGCACTGAAGGCCCCGACCTATACACTTAAAAATGGTGAAATGGTACAGTCATGTCACGTGTGTGTAGCCACCACAGGCACCCCCAGGTCTAAGGTCTCCCTTGGGTGGGAAAAGCCCGCTCTCCCCATCTCTGGATCGCTTTCTGATGAAGACACCCCCTCTATAAGGGGGAGAGCCTTTCTCCACGGAAATGAAAACTCTGCTTGGAACAACTTGGGAAGACCATTTATTTATTCTATTTATGTGTCTGTTACCAAGTGCGAACAGAGAAAGTGCCTATTATTACGCCTCCTTAGAGAGCAGCTTTGCTCTAGGCACTCTGCTCCTCATGAGCCCCCACTCCGCTCCCCTTCTTCAGGGGGAACTAAAATAAAGTGATGGAAGGGGAGGGGCAGGTTGTGCTGCAAAGCAGAATTTTGTCTCTATCCTCAGACTTGCCCCGTATGTATACACATGCATATATGCATATATACACACATGTACATACATATATAAACTCTTGTCTAGGAGGGATCTCAGTTTCGTCTTAGTGATTAGAACTCAAATCCTACTGTACATAGAACCAGAAAAACATGGTTTCTTCAGAATGCTCATGTTGGCCCTGCATAACACTTTATTTTGTGGCTATTTTAAAAGCCATGGAAGACAGTTCAAAATAAAAGGGGTTAGTTTTTGTTTTTTGTTAAGGACATACAAAAAGAGAGAGATGAGATTCCGATTCATAAGATTATTATCCTTCTTCCCCGGGAGAAAGGAAAATGTGCAAATTGATGCTTGAACAGTGTGGGGGTTGGGAGGTCAAAAATCCATCTACAACTTCTGACTCTCCCCCAGATTTAACTACAGCCATCCCTTGGCATCCACAGGGGGTTAGTTCAAGGACACTTAAGGACACCCAAATCCTCAGATGCTCGTGTCCCCGCTAGTCGGCACTCCGTGTGGGAAGCTTCCACATCTGAGATTGTTGGATCTGTGAACGTGAAACCCACAGACAGAAGAATCTGTTTGAAAGCTCAAATCCACACAGTTCAAGTCAAGTGCATCCATCCTGGCTTCTCTATGCTATGCCTTCCTGCATCTGAGTCACTGAGGTCACACAGGACAACCAGCTTCCATGGCTGGTTCCAAACTAAAAGCAAAAACAAAAGTACACTCAGGCCGGGTTGATCTCACTTCCTTCTGCTTGAGAGCCTTCTTCTTGGGGTGCCTGCCCGGCCAAGCAGCATTCTGCTGCCTCCCGCGTGCAGTAACCCCCAGATTCTTC